TTACACAATGGCAGTACCACACAGCTCACACATTGGCAGTGTCTGCCCGCTCCCAATCGAGGAGGCCACTCTGCTGGCGGGGGCTTTCACACTGCGGAACCCGCTGGGCTTCTCCAGCTCTCCTGCAAACATCAAAAGTCACTGGCCATCACACACCCACAGGTCTCTGTCTCCACACAAGCCAACCCTGTCGGCATCCCAGTCTAGCCCCACTCTCCCCCAGTCTATCCCCATTCTCCCCTCACTCCCCCCAATCTCCTCTCGCTCTCACCAGTCTAACCCCACTCTCTGCACGCTCTCACCCAGGCTAATCCCAATCTCCCCCGGTCTAACCCCATTCTCCCCTTGCTCCCCCCATTCTAACCCCACTCTCCCCCAGTCTATCCCCATTCTCTCCTCGCTCCCCCCAATCTCCCCTCGCTCTCACATAGTCTCACACTTCCCCCGCCCCCCCCCGGTCTAACCCCATTCTCCCCTCGCTCCCCCCAATCTAACCCCACTCTCTCCTCATTACCCCTAGTTTAACCCCACTCTCCCCTTGTTCTCGCCCAATCTAACCCCACTCTCCCCTCGCGCTTACTCAGTCTAACCCCACTCTCCCCTCACCCAGTCTAACCCCACTCTCCCCTCGCTCTCACCCAGTCTAAACCCAATCTCCCCGTGGTCTAACCCCATTCTCCCCTTGCTCCCCCCAGTCTAACCCCATTGTCTCCTCGCAACCCCCAGTCTAACCCGACTTTCGTCCAGTCTAACTCCATTAAGCTCTCACTCCCCCAAAGCCTTTAATAATCCCTGAACCCTGCCAGTGGCAGACAAAGAGGCGAACCCGCTCCTGGCACACTCCGTACCATTGCCTTCTGACTCCAGGATCTGCTGTAACACCCGGAAGGAGGCGGACTGGCGTGGTGGCTCGTCACACTCCTGGTTTTCCTGCAGCATTTTGTAAACCTCGGAATCAGTGTGTGTGATGGGGACGGGCGTAGGGAATACCGGCTCAACACTGGCACAGGGACAGAGAGCACACACATAGTTAGTGTTCACTCCATACAGCCTTGGCTCACGCAGCTCTCCAGTGTTGGGTGGGGTGGTGGGAGGAGGTGTTTGGGTATGGGGAAGGTCCATGGAGCAGTGCTGATTCTGGAACCATCCTAAACATGACCACCAGCACTATTCTGCCTCAGAGAGACAGAACCTCTTTACGACAATGTGGCCCATCATTACAGACTGTCAGACACACGCTCACACATTACAGACTCTGAACTGGTCTCCTTCACCCATCACAACCTCCCTCCCAGTCCCACAAAGGATACGCAAGCACCAATTAGCCCTTAATAAGGTTAGCGTGGGACAGAGCCCAACCACTACCCCAAGAGAGCCAGGCGCCTCTCAAACTAGCTCATTAATAAGGGCATGTTTAAGAGCAGGTCCATATCACACCATCACTGGGTCGTTCAATGGAACGGGTGGAGGTAAGCAGTGTGTCTTTGGGTTTGTGCTAGCTCCAAGGTGATGTTGTCCCCAGGGTTGTAATATCAGAATCGAGGCAACCCTGTGTGACAGTCTCTAATCTGGTTCCTGAGCCAGGCGGGTCCGTAGTATTCCAGGGCACTGCTGATGACAGCCCAGCCCATCGGCAGGATGGAAGGACAGACCAGTCATTGGGAGAAGGGAATCCTCCCAATCAGCTTCTGTTAATCCAACGCTTGGAGGTCACTAAACCTTGTTTTTTGCATTCCTCTGGTGTAAGGCAGGCGATTTCTAACACAGGTGGAGACCTAGAAAAAGTGTTGAGCACAGTGATAGATTTCCGAGTGTCAGACCAGCACAGTGATGGGTTTCTGAGTATCAGGGATAGCATTGAAGGCTGGTTGGTTTGTATCTCCAACCGCAATGCATTTGGCAAAGCTTTTTCGCACTTCCATTTGCTGCACATCTTCTCCTCTGCCTTCCCTACCCCGGGGACGGTGCTCGCTGGCCTGCTGTGCGTATTTGAGCTGCAGCGGGGACACAGGTCACCGTGGTACCTGACCTTCCCGACATCCACATGCTCACATCTTCCGGGGGTGGGTGGGGGGGATTGGGGTCTATGAATAGCGATCAAGAGTGGAGATCCTGGCCAACACCCCAAATCCAAGAGGTTGATGAGGATACAGCTGTGTGAGTGATACCTCGCTGTGTGAATGGCACCTCAGTGTGTGTGTGTAACGTATTGTTGTGTGACGTGTTGCCCTCCTCTCCCCTGGGATGATGTGTGGGTGAGAAGAGGTGGGAGAGAGAGGGGGGTGGTTGTTACCTGGTGTGCATGGGGCTGAGCGAGGAGATCTGCCCCTGTAAACTGTCCAGGATGTTTTGCTGGGAGTAGAGCTGCAGCGGGGAGTTAAACTGCTTGTGGAGGACACGGAGACCGGGCACGTCCACCTCCATCTGGCCCTGGCGGCAAAAGCGGGCCATGTGCTTCAGCTGCTGGGGCTCAGCCCGGAGCCGGCTGGGGATGGAGGAGGTGCTGTGTCGCCGAGCCAGGCCAATGGCTGCAGGGTAGACAGCGGCAAAGGCAGCTTTGTACGAGCCAGGGGAGGAGAAGGAGCTGTGGGCACAGCGGGGGCAACGAATGGAGCTTTAAAACTCGCTCGGCCAGCCCGGGACAGACACAGAGTGTGACATGATCATTCGCTGTGTGACGGGACCAATCATTGTGACGTGAGCACTGTGTGTGACATGACCACTCTGTGACGTGGTCAAGGAAGTCCAGCGCAAACCGCCGCGGGCTGGTCACAGCCGGGAAGCCATGCATGTGGGCGGTCGGGGTCCCGTGCAGTCAGCCAGCTGCACAGCTGCTCCGCACACAAGCTGCCCTCTCGTCGCATGCAGCATGGATCCGTACCCGTGTGATGCTCGGGCAGTGATTGGGCCATGAAAGCCAGGCTCCTCGGTGTAACCATGCCGGACGTTCATTGATGCTTTCCCCCCTGACACTGTGGTGAGAAGCGGTCTGACAAGCTGTGCCCCCCACCCGATTCTCCCCCACCCCCCCACCCACCGCGGTGAGAGGCAGCTCCACTCTGTGTGAAGCAGGCAAGAAGGAGTCAGAGACCTGCGGAGGCCCGGCCCGGGCACTGAGGGTGGACACGGAGCCGACCAACTGGTGCCCTGGGTATAGCGTGGTCTCTGAAACACAACAGGGGGTTATAGGAGTCAGGCTCAGTGGCTCCTCACATCTGAGAGGGGGAGAGAGAGAGAGGGGGAGGGGGAAAGGTAGGGATAAACGGGGAGAGAAAGAAGTGGGGAAAACGAGAGGAAGGGAGTGGGCAGGGAGAGAGAGGAGAGAGACAGAGAGGGAGGGGAAAGAGAGACAGGGGGAAGAGAGAGGGGATTGAGGGGAGAGATGGGTGGGGGTGGGAGAGGAAGACAGGGGGAAAAGAGAGAGGGTGGGGGGTGGCGGGGAAAGAGAGAGAGCGGGGAGAGAGAGGCAAGAGTTCCACATAAAACACATCAACGCACACTTGCTCACTGTGCCTCCCAACCCCAACACACCCTCCCCTCATCACAAGGCTCACTGTGTTTGCTGGGTGCAGGTGTGTGTACTATCCAGACTGCCAGGACAGATAATATATATATGTGTGTGTGTGTGTCCTGGGTTGCAGGCATGTGGCCCAGGGATACTCACATGGTGTCTGGCTGCTGACTGCAGACTCTGGGCTCCAGCGTGCTTTGAAGCTGCTGCACGCTCGCTGTGGAGTAGAGGGCCGCTGGACTGTTGTAGCGCGTGGGGGCCAGTTGTGGAGCCGGGCCAGGGACAGTGAACGGCCTGGCGCTCCGGTTGTGAGCACTGCCTATGTGCATAAGCTCCTGTGTGCAGAGGCAGAAGGTTCACGCTACTAGAGCAGGCAACATGCAGGTGTGAAGAGAGAGCACGAGAGACGTGACATGCAGGCAGTGCCTATAGCCCAGGGCGGCCTCTCACAGGTCCAGCACAAGACCTACAAGCCTCAGCCCAGGCCTGTGCGCCAGACCCTAAGGGGCGGCTGTGAGCCCGGCATGGGACCTAGGCTGAGGCTTGCAGAGCCCAAAGCCTGAAATGAGGCTTGGAGGTCTGGTGCTGGGGTTGTGAGAGGCTGGCCTGACAAATACCAGCGGTGAAAGGATTTCAGTGCACAGGCTCTGTGCTGTGGCTAGGCGTGTGTGAAGTGTCAGCAGCACATAGAACCCAAGAAATTTACACAGAAGGAGCCCGTTCGGCCCATCGTGTCTGTGCCCGATCAACAATCCTTTCAGGCCCATTTACCTGCCCATTTCCCCACAACCAGCTAGCTGACTCTTTTTTAAGGTATTTGTCTAGTTCCCTCTTGAAGGCTCGTATGGATTCTGACTCAACCACCGCTTCCAGCAGGACATTGCATAGCCTAATAACCACTCTGTGTGTGAGAACATCGCTCTTAACCTCCCAAATTGTTTGATTACTAACCACCTTAAAATTGATGCCCTCTCGTCACTGACTCACCAACCATTGAGAATAATGTCTCCCTATTGACTCTATTCAAACCTTCATTATTTTAACACCTCGATCAGGTCACCCTTGAATCTTCTCTGTTTCAGCAGAAAAACTCCCAGTTCTTCCAGTCTCTGCTCATAGAACAAACCACCTTAGCAATTATCCTCTGTATCTCTCCCTTTCCCCCCACCTCTGTCGCAGTGATATTTTTCCTCATGTGGGAGAGGAAACCTCCATGTCCATCAATGACTGAACAGCTCCAAGCCATGCCGCACAAGCTTTTAACATTCCTATAATTTATCAAACTGTCTTGGGGAATCTCTACCCAGTGCCTGTGTATTTGTGGTCAAACAAAGCAGCCAATCTGCACACATACACACGCACAGCAACGACCCACAGACAGCCATGTAACCAAGTTTATCTGGGAGATTGTTGGCCAGGACACCTGGAAAGAGTAACTCCTTGCTCTTTTCAAATAGCACCGCGGGATCTTTAACGTCCATCTGAACAGGCACAGATGAGGGGCCTCGGTTTAACGTCTCATCCGAAGGACGGCACCTCTGTCAATGCAGCACTCCTCCAGCACCGCACTGGAGCATGAGCCTGGATTGTGAGCTCAGCGTCCCCAACTTGGGGCCTGAACACACAGCCACTGAGCCAGACAGTGACACAAGTACCCATAGCAGTGACACACAGACTGACAGCTCCACAGTCCCCATGGCGCACGCTCGCTGTACCTGGTCACACCCTGAATTTACACACTAACCCGTCTCCAGGATAACAGTGCCAAACAAACACACAGCTATAAATAGCCACAGTTTACTCACAGCGATATTTTCAAGGACATTTCCAGAATGTCCTGTGACTCAAAACGCAGGTGACTGAACACCCCTCTTGTGAATGTGATTGTGACTGTGACGTAGGCAGAGAGTGAAACAGGGTCTCAGTGCAATGCTGGGGATACTGCATGGTCCAGTCTCTGCTCTGTTCAGGTGGACATTAAAGCTCGCCACCCTCCCGCTGTGGCCAGTGTGGGAATGCTGTTCAGGAGTGTGGGAACATCAGTGGTGCTCAGACACCAGCATAGCTGAGAGCAGTCTGATCGGAAGCCTTGTTCATAGTAATGAGCAACTCCCAGAGCAGCCACAGGACTGAGAACAGGATATCAGCACCGCAGCCAAACCCAGCACCAGCCTGTCACAGGGCAGTATCTACACTAGTACCTGTGCTGGTGCCAGGTAGCTGGAGGTGGGATTGGGAAACATCTGGATTAGGGAGTGTGGAAAAAGTCAGGGAAATCTCTCGTGATCTGATCAACTGGCAAAACAGGGTGCCCGAACAGCCTCCTACAGGATAACAAAGAGGGTAACTGGGCCTGGGGGTAGGGAGCGCTGGGATGGGGGTGGGGCAGCGCTGGGCTGGGGATCGCTGGGTGGGGGGGTGGGCAGCGCTGGTCTGGTCTGTGGGGAGCGCTGGTCTATGGGGAGCGCTGGGCTGGGATGAGGGAGCGCTGGGCTGGGGGGAGGGAGCGCTGGGTTGGGGATGGGTGTAGGGAACGCTGGGGTTGGGAAGGGCTGGGCTGGGTGGTGGGCAGCGCAATTTAGGGGGTTACGGAGCACCGACTGAGAGTTAAAAGAGCCATGTTACCTCAGGATCAGACGCCAGGTTCATCTTATACGGATGTTGTTTTCCTTCCTCTTTCGTCAGTGGCGACCAGATCCTAGACTCACTCCTGTCTCAGAGAGAAAGATAGAGTCAGAGGGACATACCTGGGTAGAGACATAATAATAATAAACCTTGCATTTGATATAGTGCCTTATCACGTCTTCGAGACATCTCAAAGCGTTTCACAGAATATACTGTGAAGTGAATTGATGGTATATTTTGTGGGCGAAAGAAAGACAGACAGTCACTACTCTCAGCCCCGCTCTGGGCTGAGTGGCTGATCTCAGCCCAGCTTTGTGGTTCAAGCCCCGTGTTGGGACTGATGTGGGGCTTTAACACAAAACCTCTTGTTGATGCAGAGAGAGAGGGAGTGAGATGAAGTGGGTTTGAGAGGCATCTATGCCTGTTCAGATGGACGTTAAAGATCCCTTGGCACTATTTGATAAGAGAAGGGAATTTCACTCTCCCGCTGTCCTGGTGAGCATTACCCCAGATAAAAATTTTATCTGGAACTTTGCTCTGTACAAATTGGCTGCTGTATCCGCCTATGAAATAGGGTGATTACATTTCACTATAAATCATATGAGCATTTTGAGATGTTCTCCTGACACTGTATCACATGTAAGGATTTTTATTGTCATCAGACACAGATAAAAACAACATAAAAAGCAACACAAAAGGTGCTGTGTGAGACGGAGCTCATGCCCATGTTTGGAGATGTACTCAGAACCAGCTGCAGCATTTCCTGTCTTACAAACATACACAGTTTACCATAGATGATCATGAGTCCCCATGATCTCATACATCAAAGAACACAGACCCTGCACTAAATATACAGCACACGTGCCTGCCCTGGATTACTGTCGGCAGATCCTGGATTTGCCTGGCCTCACCCATCCCATCTTTGACCTCTCCACCCAGACATACCTGGGGCATAACTCAGCCTTTCACAATGTGCACGTATCTCATCTCCAGCTGTGCCTTTTACACAGGCAGAAATAGTCCCCATTGTGTGGCTCTCACAGTGACAAACAGAGGCTTGGAACGAGAGGCAGACCCTCACTCCCCAAAGGGAAAGAGATCTAAACTCCCAGCCGCACACAAGCTGAGATCAGTCCCTGGATTCCAGGGAGAGACAGAATAATATTTGGGGAGGTGGGATAAGGAGAGGATGAAGAAGTGGAATGGCAGTGGAATTGTCTGTGATGAAACAGGCTGGATGGGCCGAATGGCCTCCTCCTGCTCCTATTTCTTGTGTTATAATACTTTGCACTGGTCAGGGGGTCAATCACCAGAGAGTGAGATCATCATACAGAGAATTTTTTGGTCAGAAGGTGGGGGATGGAGCATACACAAGGGGAATTAAAGGAGAAACCAACCTCCAGCACACACTGGCCAGGTCAAATGACTTATTTATGTGCTGTGATGGCTTATGTAAAGTCAGTAATCAACGCTCACTATAGGTGACCAGATGATGCTCAGTGTAACAGCTGCAAATTCATGCATGAAAATGTATCTACAAACAAATAGTCACTTACAGTAAATACTGTGAAGCGCTATCCCACGTGAAGGGCGCTATATAAATGCAAGTTGTTATTGTTGTCCTCCCCACTTGAAAGCACTTGTATCGAAAGTAACAATTATTATCATAAATAATAACTGCATTTGATACAGCGTCCCATGAAGTCAAAAGTTCTTGAAGTGCGTCACAGAGTTTACAATGAAGTGTAGTGACTGTGTTTTAGGTGAGCAACTACACACCGACCCCCCCCTTCACACCGACCCCTCTCACACCCACCCATCCTCACACCGACTCCCATTCACACCGACACCCACCCTCACACCGAACGCCCCTCACACCGAACGCCCCTCACACCGAACGCCCCTCACACCGAACGCCCCTCACACCGAACGCCCCTCACACCGAACGCCCCTCACACCGAACGCCCCTCACACCAAACGCCCCTCACACCGAACGCCCCTCACACTAACCCCTTCCTCTTCTGACTTCTTGTGGCGGGGTGTAGCTTTGATGGTCCCGAGGCAGAGAGGGGCATGGGCTGTGAGTGACTGAGTGAGAATGAGTGAGGTACCTGTTGATGAGGAGGGCCATTTCATCGCCACAGGCCTTGATGGTGTTCTGCGCCTGTAGGTGGGTCATGCCTTCAGTCTGCACTCCGTCAATGGTCAGGATAATGTCGCCCACACACAGACCGGCGACTTCAGCCTTACTGCCCGGCGTGATCTGATCAAAACAAGCGTCAGGGTCAGGGACAGAGCTGGGAATTGTACCTCCCCACAGAGCACCCCCCCCCCCCCCACACCGGGTATGCACAAGACAGGGGACCAGCGTTACACAACCCTCAGAGGGTGAACATCAATCAGCCTCTGGGCAGAATGTGATAAGACGAGGACACAGTGTGAGAGGATTGAGAAGAGGATCTGGGGGTTGTCCATGGTGTCTGGGAGGAGAAGGAGACAGTGAGTTTGGACTATACAGGCCTGAGCATATTGGTTTTCATTATTATCTGAAGGTTTTGTGCACGAGTCCCAGCGTGTTGGTTCCACCATCGTCTTCGCCCCCTAAAGTTATCCCTGAGGGAGGAATATTGTCCTACACTTGCCCTTCACACACACCCTGGATCAGAGTGTCTCTCTGTATGGTATCTGACTGTATTGTTCTGGTTTACATTCTCCATCGAACCCACACGCACTGACTTGCCAAATATTCTGTTTGAAAATCTTACTCCATGAATCATTCTCTGGTTGTTTGCCTGCTGTTTGATCAATCTCCGTGACAACACACGTGCTCATCCCAGCCTCTCACACACACTGAAACAGCCTCACACACACACACTGAGCCAACCTCTTGCACACACTGAGCCAGCCTCTCTGTTACACACACACACTGAGCCAACCTCTCGCACACACTGAGCCAGCCTCTCCCACACACACACTGAGCCAGCCTCTCACACACACACACTGAACCAGCCTCTCACACACACACACTGAACCAGCCTCTTGCACACACTGAGCCAGCCTCTTGCACACACTGAGCCAGCCTCTCTCTGTTACACACACACACTGAGCCAACCTCACACACGCACACACACTGAGCCAACTTCTCACACACACACACTGAGCCAACTTCTCACACACACACACTGAGCCAACTTCTCACACACACACACTGAGCCAACTTCTCACACACACACACTGAGCCAACTTCTCACACACACACACTGAGCCAACTTCTCACACACACACACTGAGCCAACTTCTCACACACACGGACACACTGATCCAGCCTCTCTCTCTCACACACACACTGAGTCAACCTCTCGCATACACACTGAGCCAGCCTCTCACACACAGACACTGAGCCAACTTCTCACACACACACACACACACACATACTGATCCAGCCTCTCTCTCTCACACACACACACTGAGTCAACCTCTCGCACACACACTGAGCCAGCCTCTCTCACACACACACACACACACTGAGCCAGCCTCTCTCACACACACACACACACTGAGCCAGCCTCTCACACACACACACTGAGTCAACCTCTCGCACACACACTGAGCCAGCCTCTCACACACACACACTGAGCCAACTTCTCACACACACACACTGAGCCAGCCTCTCACACACACACACACACATACTGAACCAGCCTCTCTCTCTCACACACACACACTGAGTCAACCTCTCGCACACACACTGAGCCAGCCTCTCTCACACACACACACACACTGAGCCAGCCTCTCTCACACACACACACACACTGAGCCAGCCTCTCTCACACACACACACACACTGAGCCAGCCTCTCTCACACACACACACACACTGAGCCAGCCTCTCACACACACACACTGAGTCAACCTCTCGCACACACACTGAGCCAGCCTCTCACACACACACTGAGCCAACTTCTCACACACACACACTGAGCCAGCCTCTCTCACACACACACATACTGAACCAGCCTCTCTCACACACACACTGAGCCAGCCTCTCACACACACATACTGAACCAGCCTCTCACACACACACACTGAGCCAACTTCTCACACACACATACTGAACCAGCCTCTCACACACACACACTGAGCCGGCCTCTCACACACACATACTGAGCCAACTTCTCACACACACATACTGAGCCGGCCTCTCACACACACACACACAGAGCCAACCTCTGACACACAGCCTGAGCCACCCTCTCACACACAGCCTGAGCCAACCTCTCTCACACAGCCTGAGCCACCCTCTCACACACAGCCTGAGCCAACCTCTCTCACACACACTGAGCCAACCTCTCTCACACACACTGAGCCAACCTCTCTCACACAACCTGAGCCACCCTCTCACACACAACCTGAGCCACCCTCTCTCACACACACTGAGCCAACCTCTCTCACACACACTGAGCCACCCTCTCACACACACACACATACCGGGATGTGGGGGGGAGGGGTGCGGGAGGTATTTACTGTTTTCTTCGCTGGAATGAAGAGCCACTCCCCTGTGCCTGTCTGAGAGTCAGCAGAGAGAGGGTGTGGGGTAAAGGCAGACATTACCAGCGAGCAATGTCCCACATCCATACCTCGGGCTGCTTTGCATTTACCACAATAGGTGGTGATCAATTACGCAGTACGATACGGACTGAGAGACACGATAACAGTCACTCTCTTCTCGCCACTTGTCATTGACAGCACCGCACAACCCTCACTGGGTCACCGACCTCTCACCATCTCTGCTCTCTGACTGACCACTGCTCTATGTGGAGACCTTCACAATTTGCTGATTGAGAGTTTAGTTCAGAGGATAAGAGCACCTGCAGGTCACTGCTGGGCACCCCCCACCCCCCCATACACAGGCTCTCTCTCACACACACACCCCCATACACAGGCTCTCTCACACACACACCCCCCCATACACAGGCTCTCTCACACACACACCCCCCATACACAGGCTCTCTCACACACACCCCCACCCCCCATACACAGGCTCTCTCACACCACCCCCACCCCCCATACACAGGCTCTCTCACACACACACCCCCCCCATACACAGGCTCTCTCACACACACACACCCCCATACACAGGCTCTCTCACACACACCCCCCCCCCCATACACAGGCTCTCTCACACACACACACACCCCCACCCCCCCATACACAGGCTCTCTCACACACACACACCCCCATACACAGGCTCTCTCTCACCCCCCCCATACACAGGCTCTCTCTCACCCCCCCATACACAGGCTCTCTCTCACCACCCCCCCCATACACAGGCTCTCTCACCCCCCCCCCCCCCCCCCCCCCCCGATACACAGGCTCTCACACACACACCCCCCCCCCCCATACACAGGCTCTCTCACACACCCCCCCCCCCATACACAGGCTCTCTCACACACACACACCCCCATACACAGGTTCTCTCACACACACCCCCACCCCCCATACACAGGCTCTCTCACACACACACCCCCCCATACACAGGCTCTCTCACACACACACACCCATACACAGGCTCTCTCACACACACACACCCATACACAGGCTCTCTCACACACACACACCCATACACAGGCTCTCTCACACACACACACCCATACACAGGCTCTCTCACACACACACACCCATACACAGGCTCTCTCACACACACACACCCATACACAGGCTCTCTCACACACACATACACCCCCCCATACACAGGCTCTCTCACACACACATACACCCCCCCATACACAGGCTCTCTCACACACACACCCATACACTGGTTCTCTCACACACAAAGCCAGTGCATCTGTTGTGAGTGTGTGAGAGTACCTGTGTATGTGAGAGCCTGTGTGTGTGTGTGTGTATGTGTGTGTGTATGTATGTGTGTGAGAGCCTGTGTGTGTGTATGTGTGTGGGAGCCTGTGTGTGTGTGTGTATGTGTGTGAGAGCCTGTGTGTGTGTGTGTGTATGTGGGAGCCTGTGTGTGTGTGTGTGTGTGGGAGCCTGTGTGTGTGTGTGTGTGTATGTGTGTGGGAGCCTGTGTGTGTATGTGTGTGGGAGCCTGTGTGTGTGTGTATGTGTGTGGGAGCCTGTGTGTGTGTGTGTGTGTGTGTGTGTGGGTGTGTGTGTGTGTGTGTATGTGTGTGTGTGTGTGTGTGTATGTGTGTGGGAGCCTGTGTGTGTGTGTGTGTGTGTGTGTGGGAGCCTGTGTGTGTGTGTATGTGTGTGGGAGCCTGTGTGTGTGTGTATGTGTGTGGGAGCCTGTGTGTGTGTGTGTGTATGTATGTGTGTGGGAGCCTGTGTGTGTGTGTGTGTATGTGTGTGGGAGCCTGTGTGTGTGTGTATGTGTGCACATGAGCCTGCGTTTGAGAGAATCGGGGCAGATGAACCCCCCACCCCACCCCCCACCCCCCCATCTCCCCCCGTGCCTTACCCGGGAGATGCTCAGCGGCTGCTCAAAGTCCTTCCCACCGACCAGGCGGAACCCCCAGGGCGCCGGACCCCGGACACAGACCACCAGCTGCGGCATAGCGATCCGGGATCAGGGACAGGGATCAGGGATCGGGGACAGGGACAGGGATCAGGGACAGGGATCGGGGACAGGGATCAGGGACAGGGATCAGGGATCGGGGACAGGGATCAGGGTCAGGGATCCGGGATCAGGGACAGGGATCCGGGATCGGGGACAGGGATCCGGGATCAGGGATCAGGGACAGGGATCAGGGATCGGGGACAGGGATCAGGGACAGGGATCAGGGATCGGGGACAGGGATCAGGGACAGGGATCCGGGATCGGGGACAGGGATCAGGGACAGGGATCCGGGATCAGGGACAGGGATCAGGGACAGGGATCAGGGATCCGGGATCGGGGACAGCAACACTGGGATCGGGGATCGGGAGGGGGAGAGGGACCGGAGGGGCTCAGCGCCGGGAGCAGTCAGATCAACACTGGGATCAGGGAGATCAGGAAGTGGGATGGGACGGGAGCGCAGTCGGACTGGCCCTGGGGCCGCCCCATCCCTGTGTGTGGGTGTGTGTGTGGGTGTGTGTGTGTGGGGGGGGGGGGGGGGTGGCTCTGCTCTGCTCTGCCCAGAGCCTTGTATGGTGTGGCTCAGCCTGAACCCTCCCCCTCCCCTGAGGGTCGGGTTCCCAGAGGCGCCTCTGCTCCAAACTTCTCTCCTCCTGGGGAGTAACTTTCTGCGCCACTTTCCAGGGAACTTCCTGCGGTGGTGACTTAATGCCTCACAATGAGCCGCACAACTTTTTTCCCCCTCCACCAGGACAAGTGATAACGATAATATTAATCCTCGCATTCCACGCAGCCGTCTTGAGGCGTCTCAAAGCGCTGTGCGGAATAGACGGTCGAAGTGAATTGACTGCGCGCTCTGGGGGCGAATACGCCACAGCAGTGCCCCGCGAACAGTCTTGGATTGAGGGACCGCATTATTTCTTTTTGAAGGGATTATTACCCCTCTAAAGCGATCTGTCAATCCACTAACCTACTGCGAGGTAAACAGAGATGTGTGGAGTAAGGAAACTTGCCCCAATGCCCTGAAGTGACTGTCCCTCTTTATACGTCTTCCTGTAGGAAGAGAGACACTCCGACTGTGTACAATGGGAGTCACAGAGTAGAGAGAAAAGGTTACAGAGTCTTAACAGGAGAGTGAGTCACAGAGGATAAGGAGACAGTCACACAGTGTAACAGGAGAGAATCACGGAGTATACACACCTTAGTGTGAAGACACACTGAAACATGGAGTAGGTAATGGACTGTCTCAAAGAGCTTCGTACCACTTCAGACTGTGAAGTGTAGTGACTGTGTATTTTGTAGGTGAACGCAGCAGCTAATTTGCACGCAGTAACGTCCCTCAAACAGCCGTGGAGCGAGTGACCGATTTTATCTGGGGGATTGTTGGCCACGACGTCGAGAGAAACGTCCCTTCTCTCAACATAGATTTAGGGACTCACTGGAATTAGGAACAAAGCTGGGATTTGGGGCATCGGTTTAAAGAAATGCAGAACAACAACAAGATTACATTTGTATAGCGCCTTTCATGTCAGGAGGACGTCCCAAAAGGATGAATACAATGTATAATAATCCTTGCATTTGATATAGCGCCATATCACATCTTCGAGATGTGTCAAAGGGTTTCAAATAGGAAGCTGAGGGCACTGATCTCTGCTGCGGGAAACACTTTCTTGGTCAGATTTTACCCAAGGCCAATGGAAGGCCTGTGGTCCACATAAACCACAGTGTGGTTTACCTCACTCTTTACAATCCCTCCACGCGGGGCTCCCCTGCTATCTGTGTGGCCAATCCCATCATCATCATGGTGCTTCTCATTTCCCCTTTACTGCTTCGACCGGCCTATGTGTACAGACAGGGTGTCTAATCTCTTTTAATCCTCGGTATGATTGTCTGAAATCAACCTCTGGTTCCTGACTGGCCATTTGGTGACGTAATCTGTTATTATTTACCCCATTGCCACCTTTCTCATCGTGAAACCCTCAGTCGGGTTGCCCATTAACCCTCTCAGCTCCAGCCTCTCCACAGGACTGGAACTTTGTCCCTGAGAACATCCCAGTGACCCTCGCTGCACCTTTCCCATTACTGTATATCCTTCCTAGAATTAGACCCAAACTGTCCACAATTCATCACCTGGGGACCAGCCAGGGCCTGTCCATGACCAACGTTCCCTCCCTGGATTGTACGCTGTGTCTCTGGGTATAAAACCAAGCATCGGTTTGCTTTTTTTATGGCCTTAAACCTGCCCTTGACCATTGTGTCTGCCCGTGAGATTTCTCTGCTCGACTCCATTTAATATCGGAACATTTACCGGGCATTTCCTCTCCCTCTTCTTACTAAAATGTCCACTTCGCATTATCCTACATTGAACTGTATCTGCCATCAGTCCGCTCTGTCATCTTGCAGTCTTTCACAATCGGACATGTTCCCCTAGGAAAATAGCATTCGTCTATAGTCTACCGAATATGCACGTCACCCAGCTCGGTGGTGGTGGTGGGGGGGAGCGGAGGGATTGTGGGAAAATATTAACACATGCTGATATAAGTGAATAAACCACACATCGACACACACTCACGGTGGCTTTAATGTTTATTAAATAGTGCGTCCTGCAGCCACAGCAGTGAGTGGGCAGTGTCAAATATCAAACCCAGAAGCACTGCTCTAAAGGGAGCGTTTCCACCTACAGGTCCCACAGTAGGGCTGCCCAACGCTCCCAGGGGTGGCTGGATGCCATCAAACACTGCAATTGTCAGATACATATAGTGCTGCTACAATTTAAGAATTTAAGAGCATTAGATAAAGGGAAGCATTGTGCTGTTGAATTTAATAAACCGTACAGTTAGGGAGGGGAGGACAGACAGACAAACATCCCAAGCCGCTGGTAACTGATTTTTCTGCAAAAATACAATTTTTTCTGTGTTCATTTTGAGCTCTTTTTTTTTCTCCTTCAGGTGAAGTTTGTCTCCATTGCACTTTGATCCCATCTCTCCTAAATGCATCACCAACATCATTGGTTCTGCCTCTCTCTCCGTCGCTCTCTCTCTTCGCTCTTTCTTTCTGTACAGGATAAGCTAGATATTCTGTACAACAGTCTAATATACATATGTACATGCAAGGATAACGTACACAAGCCCTCTCCTGACCCCCGGGGGGGGGGGGGGGGGGGTAATGGAGGGGTGTTTGGTGGGTGATTAGACGCCACAGCAGCACATGGTGCATTATTGTGCTCTCCAGTGTGGAAAAGGTGCCAGCACAAAGCAGCCAGACAGCCAGTAAGTCAGGCCTGCCACCAGGTTCCTGACCCTCGCACCCAGTGTGTGTTTGTTTAAGAAGCTAATACAGTTATGAATACAATGTAAATTTAAAAAGGCATGGATTGGGTTATGGGTTGTGTCAGGCAGTGAGATTATACACATTCGGCAGTCAGTGCCACTGCATCCCTCTTGTGTTAGGTTCCATCCCTTGGTTTCCATCAACAGATTCACCAGACTCCCAATGTCTCGTCTCCGAAAGAAATTAAGCGCTTGTCCTCCTTCTGTCTCAGGCACGGTGTGGGGGGACTGGGGCTTAGACTGAGGGGAAAAAGCAGAGGAGAGACAGATAGAATCGAGGCATGGAGAGAAGGCCATTCAGCCACTCCCCCGTTCTCGCTCACTCGAATCTCAGATCCCTGCTCATCCCCTCATCCCTCCTCCCCGCCCCCCGCTCTGTTGTTCAGCTGATTTGAGGTTCAATCTCTCAATCATCAACTCAAGCCCCCGTACTGGAGACAGCTCTGCTCCCTGACCCTCACACACCCTCACACATCCCCCTCCTCTCTTATCTCTCACTCAGTGAACTTCATTTTTGTCCGGTACAAAAGTAGAGGCTTTGTAGTTTAAACACGATAGTGATGCCAAGTTAGAGTAACCAATATACTGTGTTCTGTGAACTCAACAGCTCCACGCTGTGCCAGCAGATTGCAAGCTCAGTCACACGCTCATTCCTCACAAGTTAAGAGGCTTCACATAGTTGCCTGGAAACGTTCCAAACTGCTTCGTTCTCCTGGATGTTCCTGTTTGGGGGTAGGGGGAGAGGGGAGAAACAGGGGCTAATTAAAAGGTGGCTCAATTAAAGGGCGCTTCCTGTTAATTGACTACCCCCACCCCGCTAGTCTGGTCTTCTGACCAATGACCGCTGTTGTCTCACACCAAATGTTGCTGAAACACTGAGCCATGCTCTTGTCACCTCCATCACTTGCGCACTCCCTGCGCTTGGCTCCACCATACGCTCCTCCAAAACTCCTCCACCCACATCCTCACCATACCAAACCCTGCCAGCCCATCAACCCAACCCTCGCCAGGCTCCATTGGCTCCCTCGTCTCCCAATAGATCGACTTCAACAACCTATTGTTGATTGCTGATGTGACCATGTCCCGATTCGGGTCAAAGAGACCGCTCACACACGCTCCCTGAGGAACCCATCGGTAGGTTACAGCAGAGAAAGGTCCCGATCCTCAGCACTGCCCCCAGCATCCTCGCCTACCCCACTGTGCTGTCCACTCGACAAAACCAGAGAGCCCCACCCACCCGCTCTCAAATGACTTGGACGAGGTGAGAACTGTTTGCCTATAAACACACAGTCACTACACCTGACTATAAATTGTGTGATGCACTGTTAGATGTCTCGACAATGTGATAAGGCGCTGTAACTAATACAAGCATTATTATTTTTTTAACAATATCCTTGCATTTGATCCAGGACCTAAAATCTTGAAATATCTCAAAGTGCTTCAATTGTAGTGACTGTGTATATGGAGGTGAGCACGGCAGCAATTTTATTTCACAAGGGCCAGCACACAGTCATGAAGTGAATGTGTGATTAATCGGGGGTAGGGGGGGGGTGGGGGATTGTTGGTCAGCGCACCGGGAGAGAGAAATTCATTTCTCTTTTCCAACAGGGCACGGGATCTTTAACATCCACGTGAACAGGTACAGATGGGAGCTCAGTTTAATGGCTCGTTCAGAGGATGGCATCTCCGACTATGCATCGCTCCATCAGCAATGCACTGGGGTGTTAGCCTGGACAGTGAGCTCAGAGCCCCGATATGTATCGTGTCTGGGGAGAAGAGTGAGGAGAAATCGCTCATTCTATATATGGGGAGCAGGGGCAACGGGCAGCAGGGGCAACGGGCAGCAGGGGCAACGGGCAGCAGGGGCAAGGGAATGGGGTTACCACGATCTTCAAGACTCACCCACAAACCAGCCATCGTCACACATCTCCAACACGTCCACCACGTCGCCCTCTCTCAGCTCCAGCTCGTCCCCATTCTGAGGCCCGTAACTGTACACAGCCTGGAACCTGCACCGGTTCCTCAGCATTAGAGTCAGACTGAGGCAGCAATCGCCCCCCAAAACACATATACGCTTCCCCAAAACACACACATACAACACCCCTACCTCCTTATACACACATACACGCTTCCCTTCTACACATACACATATCTTCCACATACAACATGCTTCCCCAACCACCCCCCACCCCAACTCTCGCACATGCTTACAAACTAACATTCCTCCCAAACCCACCTCCGGTGAAAATAATTCGCAAGATTAGTCTGGATGAAGCAGCCCTTCAACACATCTACTCTCTCCCTCCTGATCCGTTCCACCCCTTCTCCCCATCCTCCCAGCTTGGCATACCGCTGTATCCTAAAGTAATGATCCGGGTTTACTGTTTCAATCCCATTTATAATGTCATCTTCTCCATGTCTGGGTCCTCATCTCCCCAGACTGAAGAGCCTGAGCTTATCTAATTGTTGCTCACAGCTCATTCCTCTAACACTGGGAATCATCCGTGTTGCTCTCCTCTGCACTGCCTCGAGGACTTGGGCAGTCCCTTCTGTCACGGTGACTAGAGCTGTCTGATGTATTCAAGGTGTAAGACTGACCTGCACAGTCTTACAGTGACATCTGCGGTTCTAAACTCAACTGATTTAGTAATCTAGCTCAGCCTCCTGTTTCCTTGTTTATTGCTGCCTCACATGGTTTGACATACTGAGCAACTAGTCAACTAACACCTGTCGATCTCTCTCTGAGCTTCCCTCTTGGCAAGTTCTATCACATCCATGGAGTACATGTGTTTCCTATTCCTACTTCCTATAGGTAGCACCTTCTATTTATCTGCATTAAACTTCATTTGCCAGTTGCCAGCCCGTGTGCATAGCCTATGAAGCTCTCGTTGTAGGACTTCTGCTGCCTCCTCTGATTTCACTGTTCCCCCCAATATTGGTGCCATCTTCAAATGTAACTATCTTACACTGGGTCTGTGAATCCAGGTCACTAATATAAACGAGGATCAGGAGGATCCCAGTACAGACCACTGAGGCAGACTGCTGAGCAAGGTCGGTGTAGGGGGAGGGGGGGGCCTGGTTGTGTGTCAGTGACTTTGGGAGCCACCCGCAGGATGTGTGCGTGTGTGATGTGCGTGTTACTCACAGGCTGCTGTGTGGCTGTGTTCGGTTACCGCTGTCTCTGTGCTGCAGGGCCTGCGGTTGCTGGGAAATGATGAAAGATTGTTTACTGTGACAAAACCTGTGCTGCGGGCGCAGGGGGTAAGAGAGCGTGCCACAGTACTGCACTGAGCTCTCCGCAATGTTCATGATCTCATTGCAGACCGCTTCCTGGGCGAACGGCCGCGGGCAGGAAGCGGGAGGGCCGGGGAGAGTGTGTCCCAGGACCAGGGTCCAGGATATTGCGTTGACGTGCAGAGCAATCCAGAGGGAAGCATGGAAAACAGGCGGAGACAGAGAGGGTAGTGTTAGTACAGAGGTTACAAGAGCAGCAGTGATTAGGCTGCAGCGTGCCAGGCAAGCAAGCTCCCGGCTGTCAGGGGGTCTGCGCTAAAGCAGCCCATGCATTGCTGAAGAGGCAGTGAAGTGCAGCACAAGGAGCTTATGCAGTGCTGTAGGGCAGTCAACACAGCACGCGAACACACAAGCCCGTGCATTGCTGCAGGACACACCCACAGCCCACATGGCATTGTTGCAGAACACATGTGCTGACATCGGCACACAGTGCACATATACAGCCCACATGAGGCTACCTGGTACTGCAGAACACCACATCCGGCCATGCATTACTGTAGAACATGCGCAGCACAGATGCATTGCTGCATAACAGCCATGACGCTACAATTTTGCAACAGTACATGGAACACAAGGCATTGAATTGTGACTCTGATCCACATCCATTATTCTGTGCTTGGAGACATCTCAACGATGTGATAAGGCGCAATAGCAAATGCAAGGATTATGATTATTATTATTATAGCAGATACTCAGAGGAGCACAGGTTCCTCTCCCTCCCTCCCTGGGCACCAGGCAGCGAGGATCTCAGACAGAGAGCAAGGGATTGAGACTGAGACAGCGAGAGAGAGAGCAAGCGAGGCTGGGAGTGAGTGAGACTGAGAGCAAGGCTCAGAGTTGGAGCTGGAGGCGGTGTAGGGCTGTTACGTGGTAATGAGCTCTGCCATCTCCCCTTCGCCTGTGGCCGGCACTTGCCGGAGCAAGCGGGAGCTCTCCGTGTGGGGATAACAATCCTTACACTCGATACACGGCACAAGGACGTTTCAAACTGCTTCACAGGATTTACTGTAAAGTGTAGTGACTGTGTTTTTTTTAGAGGTGATGAAGGTAACAGACAATTTGCATACAGCAACATCCCACAAACAGCAATGGAGTGATTGAGCAATTTTATTTGGGGGGGTGTTGTTGGCCAGGACACTGGGAGAGAAAAATCTTCCTTCTCTTTACCAATAGTGCCATGAGATCTTTAACATCTACCTGAACAGACAGATGGGACCTCGGTTTAACATCTCATCTGGAGGACGGGGCCTCTGACAGTACAGCGCTCCCCCCATCACTGCATGGGAATGTCAGCCTGGACTGTGAACTCAAAGTCCTGATGAGGGGCTTGAACCCACAACCTCTTGACTCTGAGGTGAGTGTGCGTGTGGCTGAGCCAGGGATGTGAGACTCCCTCTCTCTGCATAGAGCCTGATGCTCTGAGCTAACCATAAGCCTCTGACAGCAGGAACCCAGCCACTGCTGTCCACTCCACTGGTGCGAGTGAGGCCATACAAGCGAGCGGGGGGGGACGGACGGCTTACCACGTAGCTGCGCTCAGACTGCGTGAGATCCGGTCCTCGCAGCCGCTGATGGGACGTCTGCTCATCGGGAACATGGGGAGAGGCAGTGTCAGCAGTGGTTAGTACCCCCACCCCTCCCAACCCGCTCACACTGGGGGGGGGAGGGGATGGCTACACACGGGGGGAGGAGAGGCTATCGGGTACACATGAGGAGGGGCTATCGGGGCCACTACAGGGAAGACATGGGGGAGGAAATAGACACAACATGGGTGTCAATGTTCAACTCACTACAAGATCGGGAAGAGCCAGGGATAAGACAACACCCCACTCCCACCGGTACGTAGTGCGTGAGTCGTACAGAGGGTGTGCAAGGTGTGTGAGGGGGGTGGGGGGCGGGGGGTGCTGTGTGTGTGTATGGGGGGGGGGATGTGTACGGGGTGGGTGCGCTGTGTGTGGGTGGGTGATGTGTGTGTGGGGGTGCCGTGTGCGAGGGGGGCTGTATGCAGGCGCGGGGGTTGTGTGGGTATGTACAGTGACTCACCGTGAAGGGGAGGGGGCTCAGGGCGGTGAGGGCAGGATCACACCCCGGCCCCGGGCTCCTCAACTGTCTGCAGACAGAGCCCTCGCTCCTCACTGTCTGTAAAATAGAGAGAGCAGCAGATACACACATTAGAGATCACATTAGAGCCAGCAGTCACAGTGGTGAGGGGGAGGGGGAGTTGGGGTGGGGGGCGAACGGGAAGAGGACAGATGGTGAAATCTGACACCTTTTCAGGAGGTCATATCAGTATGGATTCCTCAAACTCTCTCTCCATCACATAATTTATCTCTCTCCCTCTGCCAGTCTTTCTCTCCCTCTGCCAGTCTTTCTCTCCCTCTGCCAGTCTTTCTCTCCCTCTGCCAGTCTTTCTCTCCCTCTGCCAGTCTTTCTCTCCCTCTGCCAGTCTTTCTCTCCCTCTGCCAGTCTTTCTCTCCCTCTGCCAGTCTTTCTCTCCCTCTGCCAGTCTTTCTCTCCCTCTGCCAGTCTTTCTCTCCCTTTGCCAGTCTTTCTCTCCCTCTGCCAGTCTTTCTCTCCCTCTGCCAGTCTTTCTCTCCCTCTGCCAGTCTGTCTCTTTATCTCTCTCTCGCAGTCTCTCTTTCTCTCGCAGTCTCTCTCACTCGTCGGTCGTCCTCTCGGTCGCTCACTCTCTATGTGACACTTACTCGTTGGCAGAGATGGCCGCACATGCAGTAAGACACACAGGATGAATAAACAATCCTTGCATTTAGTACAGAATCTTATATTGTCTGAATTTTTCAAAAGTGCTTCACAGGATTTACTGTAACGTGTAGGGACTGTGTGTTTTTGTAGGTGAATGTGGCAGACAATTTGCACACAGCAACACCCACAAATAGCCATGGAGTGAATGATCAATTTTATTTGGGAAATTGTCAGTCAGGACACCGAGAGAGCGAAGTAAGTGGGGGTGTGTTTCTGTGACTGTAAAGAGTGAAAGCGGGCAGTGCTGTTAGTGTGGCATGCCCCGTGCTGCAGTCTCTGTGCTGGGACCAGCCGCGCATGCATGCACCCATGCAGCAATACAGCAAGTACCTCTCCTGCGCTGGTGTGCATGGGTGGCTTTGCCAATTCTCCACTGCTGCCTTGTGAGTCTGCTCCCTGGGGCTGCTGCTCAACACTGGTGGGGGGATCTGGCTGTGCGTCGAGGTGGGAGGGCTGTGGGCTTGCCCGGGGGGGAATGGGCAGTGAGACGCGGGAGGGGGCGATACCGTGCTCGCTGAGTGGGGTGCAGCACCCTGATGTCTGCGATCGGACAGGGGGCAAAGGGCTGGCACTGGAGCAGGGAGTAGAGCAGCCGGAGGAGGACAGAGACAGAGACAGGCTGAGAGAGGGTGAGGGGCTGCCCAGCGTGTGCGGGAGCGGGGGGAGGGAAGGGGGGGGCAGTCCCATGGTCAGCGAGATCCACTCCGAGGTGACTGTCTGCAGTTGTGGAGAGATGCCGCGGCGGCAGGAAGAAGGAGGACGGGGGGAAGGAGGAGGGCCGGGGTCGCACATCTTAAACACAGGAAGAAATGAGAGAGAGAGAAAGGGAGAGAAAGAGAAAGATGTGAAAACAGAGAGAGAGAGAGAGAGACAGACAGTAACACGGAACGGTAGAGAGCAGGGGCAGCCCGAGAACAGCTGGCCGCAGATTGGGCTCAAAGTGACTGAGAGACACAAAGAGCAGCCGTGACCCCCAACACAGGCCAGAGGGAGGGGGCAACTGAGGGCACAGGTTACCTGAGGGCACAGGTTACCTGAGTGCAGAGGTTACCTGAAGCCAGAGGGGTGAGTTTACCTGAGGGAGGGGTTACCTGAAGGCAGAGGTTATCTGAGGAGGGAAGATACCTGAGGAGAGAGGTTACCTGAGAAGGGAGGTTACCTGAGGAGGGAGGTTACCTGAGGAGGGAGGTTACCTGAGAAGGGAGGTTACCTGAGGAGGGAGGTTACCTGAGGAGGGAGGTTACCTGAGGAGGGAGGTTACCTGAGGAGGGAGGTTACCTGAGAGGAGGGGGGATTACCTGAGAGCAGAGGGAGGAAGTTACCTAAGGGCAAAGAGGTTACCTGGGGCGGGGGTTATCTGAGGGAGAGGTTTCCTGAGGGCAGAGGGAGGAGGTTACCTGAGGAAGGAGGTTACCTGAGGGGAGCCAGTGGAGCTGCGGTTTGAAGTGGGCAGTCTGGGACTCTCGAGATATTCCTCCGCGTGTTTGACCCGGGGTCTGCGGATGATCTCCACGTAGGTGACGGGGAAGATTCCCTGGCGAGTGGTGCCCGAGACTTTTCCCTCAAACCAGTTTTCATCCACTCTCCTGATCAGGCTGATACGCTCCCCCTAACACAGCACAACAGGTCATCAAACAGCTCCATTATAACAAGCTCTGCATTTGATATAACACCTCGGATACAGCACTGAAATGTCTCAGAACAGTTCGCAGGATTTACTGTAAAGTGTAGTGACTGGCGAAAGCAGCCGTCAGTTTGCGCCCAGCAGCGTCAAACATGAGGTGACTGATTTTATCTGGGGGATTGTTGGCCAGGACACTGTGACCTCAGAGGCCTCGACACGAAACTCAAACCACGACGAGAGAACACCTGAACATCGGTAGCACCAAAATGTCACCGTCTCATTCACGACCTGACAAAAACTGTAATAACATCCCATCAGATACAATCACATGCGCTCCCCCACACACCGACTGGAGCTCTGCCACTGCTGCCGAGGAGAGGGGATGTGATCGAAGGGGTTTAAGATACTCAAGTGGCACAAGAGTGAGCAGTCCATTCCAGATACAGGGACATTTTCATGTGGCATACACGTGTGGAACTCTCTGTCTGGTTTTAATCCATAATCACGACCAAAACAGAGTGTGGATGGACAGTGTCCGGGGAGCTTTATGGTGTCTCTAACCTGTGCCTGTGGCTGACCTGGGAGTGTGGGGTGGGGTTTGGCTGCTCACCTTCCTGAAGGACATTTCCACGGGTGTGTCTCCAGTGAAAGTGAAGCGAGCGATGGCCTCTCCATACTCCAACAGCTGGAGGGGTGCTGACTGCAGGGGCTGTGGCTTCTCAGTTGGAGGAAGGAGCTGGAGAGAGAGAGCTGAGTGAGCTCTGTGTGTGTGTGTGTGTGTGTGTGTGTGCGTGTTTAAAAGGGGGGGCGCTTTGTGTGTGTGTGTGTGGGGGGGGGGGGGGAGGCTGTGCGTGTGTGTGTGTGAGTGTGAGGTGTGTGTGTGTGAGAGGAGGGCTGTGTGTGTGAGGGAAGCTGTGTGTGTGTGGGAGGGGGCTGTGTGTGTGTGTGTTGGGGGGGCTGTCTGTGTCTGGGGGGGCTGTGTGCGTTAATATATGAAGGGATGGCTCCTCACCTCTACGTAAGCCCTGGGGAAGATGCCCACACGGCCATGGTGCTCGCCCTCGTACCAGTTCTGGTCGATCTGCCGTGAGATGTAAACCACGTCGCCCTTCAGGAAAGGCAGCTCCCTGTAGGCAACAGCGTTAGTGCCCACTCACCCGCACAGCACAGACCCCCTCCACCCACAGCACATGCCACCACCACCCACCACACAGCCCAGCACAAACCCCCCCGGCCCAGGGCACAGGGGACCACAGTAACAGTATTGATACCCCCGCAACAAACAGAATACCACAGATACACGCTGTTCCCTCCGCCGGACAGTACACACACATCACTGCCACCCCCCCACCCACAGCGCTGAGTTGACACTTACTTCAGTGACTGCGGCTTGAAATCAAATTTGGCTCTGGATACAATCATCTGTGAACAACAGTAGGTTAGAGTCAAGGACACAGCATGTACACAGCGCAGACACAAAATGTACATGGCATGTACACAGCACGTACACGGCGTGCACACAGCACGTACACGGCGTGCGCACGGCACAGACACGGCGTGCGCACGGCACAGACACGGCGTGCGCACGGCACAGACACGGCGTGCGCACGGCACAGACACGGCGTGCGCACGGCACAGACACGGCGTGCGCACGGCACAGACACGGCGTGCGCACGGCACAGACATGGCGTGCGCACGGCACAGACACAGCATGTACACAGCACAGACACGGCATGTACACAGCAGGGCTCTGAGCGCTCTGCGACGCCGTCCGGTGTGGAGGGCGCTATATAAATCCAAGTTGTTGTTGTAGCACAGACACGGCGTGTACACAACATGGACACAAACTGAACCCTGGAGCACGGTTGCACCACACGACCTCTGACCACCTGTCTCCACAACACATCACCCTGACCAATGGTGGCGGCTTAACAAAACGTTGCCCAAAAGCCTGAACCATTGTAGCCTCCCTATTCCCCCATCCTCGAACCCCCCCCTCAACCCCCGCCATTGCCCTGGTAGAGAGTAAGCCCACCTCAGCGCCCGAGCTCCTGCGTCCCGGCTCCTCCACGTTCAGCAGGTCTCCGAAGCGTGCGTTGGTGATGAACTGGTGATGTGTGGGCACGGTGCCCGTGTGCCGCCTTGACACAATGTCAGCCTCCTCCTGCTCCCGCCTCACCCGCCTCTGCTCCTCCAGCAATCGCTGCCAATCGCCCGCCAGCCAGCCAGCCGGCAAACAGAGACAGAGTCAGCACCGGCCGACTATAATTCCCCCACCCCAATATCGTCCCGCCCCCACCATAATCCCCCCACGACCCCATCACAATCCCTCCCCTGCCCCCACCATAATCCCCCCACGACCCCATCACAATCCCTCCCCTGCCCCCACCATAATCCCCCCACGACCCCATCACAATCCCTCCTCTGCCCCCATCACAATCCCCACCACCATCCCTCCACTGCCCCCACCATAATTCCCCCACGACTCCATCACAATCCCTCCTCTGCCCCATCGCAATCCCTCCTCTGCCCCCATCACAATCTCTCCTCTGCCCCCATCGCAATGCCTCCCCTGCCCCCACCACAATCCCTCCCCTACCCCCACCACAATACCCCCTACCCCCACCACAATCTCTCCCCTACCCCCACCACAATCCCCCTTCAGAGTCCCCGCAACTTCCAGACTGAGATGCGAGTTGCATTACCTGAGCTGGGGGGGGGGGGGGGGAGAGGAGGGTCTGTGGGGGTTTGTGTGTGTGTGGGGGGGCTGTGGTGTCAGCGCGGAGCCACACTCACCTCTTTGTCCTGGTGACGGTGGCGGGAGATCTCCATTGGCATCTCCATGTGATCCGTTGGCGTCGTGAAGCGTGGAGACTCCGGATCTACTCCAACACAAGACAGGCCAGTCAGTCAGGGAGCTCGCCAGGGTGGGCACAGACACCACACACCCCGAGGACAGAGCCATTACACTCCTTGGATCAAAGTTCAGAAGGCAAGTGCTGGGCCCGCAAAATACAGCCAGGCCAACACCCCCCCCAACCAGTGATGCCATCACTCAGTGTGTTATTTGCTTGCTGGTAGCACAACTCAGTAGGAGCGGAGTTGCCCCCCTATCGCTAACATAGGACACTGAACCCGCTGAAACACGGCACGTACACACACACACACACGTACATGTGATGAACGCACGAGCATCACATTTGCCTGCTCTGGCTGTGTGCTCGGACTCACCCACAGCCTGGGCTGTGCTGGGTGGGAAGACACCAGGCAGACAGGCCAGGAGAGGGGAGGCGTGAAGAGGAGAGGGTGAGAGCGGACGGTCGTTGGATACAGTAACGAGGAGCAGCGAGAGCACACAACACACACACACGCACAGCGAGAGGTCTGCAGATAACCTGTAGCCGCAGCCCCAGTCCGTGCCCATCGCTGTGTCACGGTGATGGCGTGGGGGTTCTCGCCCTCACACATGGCTGGCCCGAGCTTCCCATTACTGAGCCCATCGGTGGTATTCCCGATGTCCTGCTGCGATTCCCTCAGAGCCGAGTGGAGCTTTCCCGTGATGTGGAACGAGGCTGTCCTGCTGGGCACCCCAGGGGGAGCAGAGACCCTTAAACTGTGGGGGTCTGTGAGAGGGAGGGGCTGTCTGTCTGGGTGTGTGAGAGGGTCACTGTGAGGATGTATGAGAGGGAGGGGGCCACTGTGGGGGTGTATGAGAGGGAGGGGACCACTGTGGGGGTGTATGAGAGGGAGGGGGCCACTGTGGGGGTGTATGAGAGGGAGGGGGTCATTGTGGGAGAGTGTTAGAGGAAGGAGGGAGTCACTATGGGGGTGTGTGAGAGGAAGGAGGTCACTGTGAGTGTCTGTGAGAGGGAGCGGGTCACTGTGGATACCTGTGAGTGGGAGGGGGTGTCTGTGGGTGTCTGTGAGAGGGAGGGGATGTCTGTGGGGGTCTGTGAGAGGGAGGGGGTGTCTGTGGGTGTCTGTGAGGAGGGGGTGTCTGCGGCTCCGAGAGAGGGGTTGGAGTCTGAAGGGCAGCGGACACAGCAGGTAGAGATTTCTGAGGAGGGAGGTGGGGGTCTGCCCATGGGGTCTGCGGGTGGGGACCAGTTGAGGGCACCAGACAGCACTGCTGTGGGGGCTAAGTGTGGAGTCAGGGTGGGAGGGGAGCAGGAGGTCAGTGTGGTGGGGGAGCGGGAGGTCAGGATGGGGGGGGAGTGGTGTGGTAAGCGAGGGGTCAGGGTGGGGGTTAAGCGGGATTTCAGGGTAGGGGGGAACATGGGGTCAAGGTGGGGGGGGAGTGGGGGGGTAAGTGCTGGGTTAGGGTGGGGGGTGAGCGGAGGGTGGGGTGTGGCTGTGCGGTCAGAGAGGGAGGGGATCGGGGGGTGAGGCTGGGGAGTGTCAGGGTGAGGGGTGAGCGTGGGGTCAGGGTGGGGTGTGAGCGTGGAGTCAGGGTGGGGGGGGAGCGGGGGTCAGGGTGGGGAGGGAGCGGGGGGTCAGGGTGGGTGGGGAGCGGGGGGTCAGGGTGGAGGGAGAGCGGGGGGTCAGGGTGGAGGGAGAGCGGGGGGTCAGGGTGGAGGGGGAGCGAGGAGTCAGGGTGGGGGGGGAGCGAGGGGTCAGGGTGGAGGGAGAGCGAGGGGTCAGGGTGGAGGGGGAGCGGGGAGTCAGGGTGGGGGGGAGCGGGGGATCAGGGTGGGGGGGGAGCGGGGGGTCAGGGTGGGGGGGAGCGGGGGGTCAGGGTGGGGGGGGAGCAGGGGGTCAGGGTGGGGGGGGAGCGGGGGGTCAGGGTGGGGGGGAAGCGGGGAGTCAGGGTGGTGGGGGAGCGGAGAGTCAGGGTGGGGGGGAGCGGAGAGTCAGGGTGGGGGGGGAGCGGGGAGTCAGGGTGGGGGAGGAGCAGGGGGTCAGGGTGGGGTAGGAGCGGGTGGGGAGGGCGAGGGAGGTCAGGCTGAGGGGGGAGTGGGGGGTCCAGCAGGTCTAGCAGAGACTGGGTGGAGCGGGCGGAGCAGAGAGATGGTGTGGGGGTGGAGAGCACAGCCAGAGATGGCAGTGAGCGGGTTCTCTGGATAATCTGCTCGAAGGCACTGACCCGGGCTGACACCAGACGCCGCGGCCCCTCCTGCCTCTCGCCTCCATTGCCCCTCCAGGCTCCCGAGCGAGGGGTCCCGTCCCACAGGGGCTGGGCACGGTCAAGATCAGGGGTGAACCAGTCCCTGTCGATCCCTGAGGGGGCCCAGAGACCAGCTCCACACAGCCTTGCCCCCACCTCTCTGACCAGCAGGGTTTCTGTGCTGCAGCCCTTGGCAACATGACCCCTCTCGCCTCCCAGGGCACTCCCTGTGCCCAGCAGGTCCTCCCAGCTGCGGGTGTGCTGATGACATGGCACGGGGTGAGGCTGCAGCAGTGTGAATCGGGAGGGCAGCAGCAGGGGGGGGCGGCCTCTGCCAGCACTCAGTCTGTTACGCAGAGAGACTCGAGAGCCAGGCACGGGGCTAGCAAAGGCAGAAGTTGACAGCACAACACCATTCCCACCTTTATAATCCACTGGCCGGCATGCGGGCAGGACAGACAACAGTTAACACAGGTCACCAGGCAATCACGCGTCAAACTACACACTCATAGGTTAAATGCACAGAGCTTACACGCCGGGAGCTGCACTAGGCGTGAACGTGTCACTGAGCTGGGAGTGTGGACGGACAGTGCGGAAGGAGTTTTCCTCTGTCTCTATCCCTGACCTGGGAGTGTGGACGGACATTGTAGAGGGAGCTTTCCTGTGTCGCTAACCCGTGCTGTCACTGACCTGGAAGTGAGTTTTAGTTTGCTACCTTCGACGAGCAATGAGATAATAATAATAAAAAATCCCTGCATTTCACGTGGCGCCTTATTACGTCTTTGAGACGTCTTAAAGCTCTTCAGAGAATATACTGTGAAGTGAATTGACAATTTTTTTGAGGAGATTCACTGGACCCTAATTTCAATGGTGGTGTGCGGTTGCGTGTTTGACTGTGGGAGTGGGAGCTGGGTTTGGTTAGCTGTCGATTAGCTGTGCAGGGGTTAAGCACTAGTTACTACTCACCTTTAGTTGAGGAGGAGCTGGAGTTCCTCTTGATGAGCCCCCTCAGGCCCTGGAAGGGAATGTCTCCTCCCTCAAGGACAGTTTTGTAGATGCGTCTGTCACTGTCCAGGCTGTCGGGCTCAGACTGTGGACGTTCGGCAAACTGGGAGGCTGGGAACCCCGAGCTGCAAGTCAACGGAGAATGTGAGGGAGAGCTCTGCACTGGGGCACGGGACAAACAGGCACCGACTGACACAGCACGGCATTGTTCCCAGTCACTGTGACATTTGTAGAGCAGGTTCACGCGGGAGGTTGTGTGAGTCACTGGTGTTTGGCAGCCGAGCTCCCTGTGTGAACCCGGCTGACTCAACATTTACTGATCTGATTTGCAGATGCAGCCATTCACTGAACGAACTGCAGATCTCAATCTCCCCCCCCCCCCCCCGCCCCAACTCACTCCTGTCGTGTTCAGAGCCTCGTCCAGCAGGCACTGACCACTCCCTCAGCTGGCAGCAGCCCCTCCTCCTCAGTGGGCACCAGCCACCCCCCACCCCAGCAACCCCCTTTCCCCATCCCCCCCCACCCCCACAGCGGAGGTGATACACTGTATGTGATGGATGGCCAGCTGTTGTGTGGAGCTGTCTGCGGGCTAACTATATTATAAGTTATGGCACTGTAATGCACCACAGTATACAATACCCTCAACATGCTGGACTGCACTGGAGCTGGTGGGCTGCACTGTGCTGCCCCCAGCAGCGAGGGTCCGCAGAGCCACCACTCACACTGAGCACGGGAGGGGTCCAGAGCCCTTTGAGAGGCTGTGGGCCCCACACCCTGCGCATGGATCCTTTAAGACAAGATTATGGCCCTGGTGCCCAGTGTGAGAGACCGCACAGGAGGCCAGTTCAGGGCGTTAGCTGGGAGTGTACAGGCTAAATGTTCCTCCCTGGGGAGGAACAAGCCTTGGAGCAGTGCTGTGGGGAGGGGGCAGAGCGGGTGGGGGGTAGGGAGATGGAGGGGAATGTACAGTATGACATTCCCCAGGGACCCACCACACCCGCTTCCCAACGATGCTATCAGCATCCGTCCGGAATGTCGTCACAGAGAGGAGGATGTCTGGGCGGGGGGCGGGGTGGTGGTAAAGGAGGTGGGGAAGAGGGCAATGGGATGTGGGGGAGGACTCCCCTTTTAATCCTGGCTATATGATTCCTTGTTACCAATTCAGCGCTTTATAAGTGGAATCTTGTTGTTGTTGTTGTTGTTGTTCATCACCCACTACCCTCCAGTCTCAGCCTGGCTCAACCCTGGGTCAGGAGGCTGTGGTTCACGCCCCACGTCAGGACTCTGAGCTCACGGTCCCGGCTGACACTCCAACGCAGCGCTGGGGGAGACCCGCATTGTCTACGCCTGCTCTACTCTGAGCTGCACTCTGTGCGCCAGACCGTACTTACTGTGTCGGATGCTCAGGAGAAATTTCCAAGTGAGAATTTGATGCTCCACTCTGGAAAAAAAACAAAGGGGTCATTGAGAAACCTGAAATCATTATTCAGAGAGAGAAAGAAATAGACTGAGAGAGACAAGAGACAAGGGAGAGACAGACAGTTGCGAGGCAGAAAGACACACACCACACACACACCAGAGAGAGAGATACACACTGGAGAGAGACAGAGATCGACAGACAGACAGACAGACAGAGGCACACACCAGAGAGAGACACACACCAGTGAGATAGACACCAGAGAGAGATATACACACACACTAGAGAGAGATATACATACAAGAGACAAGAGAGAGACAATAGAAAGGAGAGAGGAACGAGAGAGAGAGAGAGACACACACACACCCCACACAAGTAATCACAAGAAGTTTGGGTGAATAAAATCCTTTGGCCCATCTGATCTCATCCAGAATCCTCACCCGAATGTCTTCCCATTAAATCACCAAAGTGTTTCATAAATTAGTTCTGTGCTCTGGCCTCAACCATCCTTCAGTCATTAAGCACTCCGAGAATCTACCCCGGGTAAAGGGCTCTATATGAACGCAAGTTGATGCTGAATTACTCTTTGGTTAAAGAAATACTTCCTGGTGTCCATCCTGAAATTGTCCTATACACCTTGAACCTGGTCTTCTTGTTCTAATGTCTTATTCCATCCTAAACTAATGATCTGGGTTTACTGTTTCATCTCTCCAGACTGAAGAGCCCAAGCTTGTCTAATCGTTGCTCACGGCTCATTCCTCTAACACTGGGGATCATTCTCGTTGCTCTCCTCTGCATCGTCTCTAGGACCTGGGCAGCCCCGTATGTCACAGTGACCAGCGCTGTTTGCAGTATTCAAGATGAGGCCTGACCAGAGCACTGTACAGTCCTGGGATCTAAACTCAACTGATTTATCAATCTAGCCCAGCCTACTGTTTGCCTTGTTTATTGCTGCCTCACACGGTAAGACATAGTGAGCAAAGAGTCAACTAACACCTGTAGATCTCTCTCATCTTCTCTCTCGCCATATTCTATCACACCATGGAGTACATGTGTTTCCTATTCTTATTTCCTACATGTCAAACCTTTGCTGCCTCGTCTGATTTCAACTTGTTGTCATGTGCAAATGTAACTACCTTACACTGGATCTGTGAATCCAGGTCATTAATATACACGAATAACAGGAGGAACCCAAGTTAGATCCCTGTGGTACCCGCTTAATATCTCCCCCATTGTAACCTGGCTCCCCTAACAAACACCCTCTGCTTCCTTCCCTTCAGCCAATTCTAAATCCGAGTTCATGTCTTGCCCTTGATAATAACAATAAAAATAATCCTTGCATTTGATATATGCAAGACATCGAGACATCTCAAAGGGCTTCACAAGATATAGTGTCAAGTGGATCAACTGTGTATTTTGTGGGCAAAATGTGGCAGCCAGTTGCACATAACAATGTCAATCCCATAAACAGTCGTGGTTTGAGTGACCAATTTTATCTGGGGAGATACTGGGAAAAACTCCCTTGTCTTTTCGAATAGCGCCATGGGATCTTTCACATCCACCTGAACAGGCAGATGGGACCTTGGTTTAACATTTCATCCGAAGCACAGCATCTCCGACAATACAGAACACCCGCAGCGCTGCATTGGAGGGTCAGCTTAGACTATGTGATCCCAGATCCCGATGTGGAGCTTGAACTCACAACCTTCTGACTCAGTGGCGAGAGCGCTACCACTGAGCCAAGCTGACACACACTGAGTCAGGCTGACCCAGCGACCACAGTTTTGAAGGAGTCTTTCATGTGGTGCTTAGTCAAATTTCTTTTGGAAATCTACATACACCTAAAACAACTTGCATTTATATCATGTCCTTCACACAGGATAGCATCTTGGAGCTCATGCAGCATAACGTCTCGGAGGCCTGCGCTAGCTACCCTTCATCCCTCAATACTCTTCAACTACAGAACCACCTTCAACTTACAATTCCTATCCAAGGTCCTATTGTACTCAGCTTCGCTCCCTCCACTGCCTGCTCGAGCCCCTCCAGTTCCGTTTCCACCCAGCTCACACCACTGAAACTGCGCTTGTGAAGGTGCCAAATGAAATTCTCTCTGTGACAAAAGTTCCCTCTGCACCTTGATCTCTCTGTTGCTTTCAACAATGTTGACCATTCATTCCTGCTCATTTGCCTCTCCTCCCTCATCCACATCACACTCTCCTGGTTCCAATCCTACCTGACACATCACTTCCACTTTGTCTCCAAAACCTTCTGCTCCCACCCTCACGTCACCTGAGCAGTACCCCTGGGCTCTGTTCTCCTTTTCCTCATTCACACGCTCCCTCTTGACCACATCATCCAGACAAGTGGGGTTAGCTTCCACATGTACGCGGACACCCAAATCTACTCTTCCACTTCTACTCTGTATTCCAAGTGCGCTGATGTTCTGTCCGCTTGCCTGTCAGACACTCCTAGATGAGTCTCAATAACTTCCATCTGAATATGGACAAGACAGAAGCCATCCTCTTTGGCTCCTATTAGCATCTCCTCATTATCAGCTCTGACTTCCTCACTGTTTTTCTCTCGAGTCAGTGTGTGACTTTGGCATTTGGTTCAATCCTCAGCTTGTCTTCCTTTCTCACTCTTTGGACCCTGACCAAAACCACTTTTCTTCCCCTCCGCCACATTACCTGCTCTGCAATACACAGATCTCCTGTCTAGTGTCTTTAAGTATCCTTGGGTACACTTCATCGAATTTGGTGGATTTGATGGTTTTCAGCCCAGTCTATCAAGTCTCTCAGTCTCACTTACGTCAAAGTCCGGGAGCTCAAACAATAGTTGCTATCTTTTGGGGCGCATTTCCTTAATGGGAAAAAAAATCCTCCAGGAAGTTGTCATTTACTACATTTGCTATATCTCCTGTTCATTCTCTTTTCCAAACCGTTTCACGGTTTTGATATCTTCCCCGACAACCTTCTCACTGTTATACTATTGGAAGCTCCTTGGGGAGAGGTAGACAGGTCTCGCTGGAGCTAACTTCAAGGTATTTCTGTCCAGCCATGAAATGTGGGAATCAAGCCCACCCTCTCTGGAAGTCTCTAGTCTGGTTCTTGAGCCAGGAAGGGCTGCAGTATTCCAGGGCACTGCTGATGACAGTACAGCCCTCATTGGCAGGACAGACCAGTCACTGGGGGCAGGGAGTCCTGCCACTCAGCTGTTGTTAACACTGCAAAAGGAAAGCCTTGTTTGTCTGGAGCATTGCCACGAAGCGAGAGAGAAACGTGAAGACAGAGAGAGATGAAGAGAGAAAGACACATGCACAGATAAGAGGCACAGAGGGAAAGAGAGACACAAGAGAGATAACGACGAGATGGAAACAGAGAGATTGAAAGACGATGAAATGGAGCGATTAGGAGATTACCTGTGATGGAAAGAGAGAGAGAGAGAGAGACGCAAATGGTGAGGCGATGTCAGACGGTGACATGGAGAGGTCAGAGAGATGATGGAGATAGTGAGAGATGGAGAGAATGGTGATGGAAAAACAGAGTCAAAAGACAGAGAGATGGTGAGATGAAGACGAGCTCCAGATAGTAACCTGGGGGCTGGGGAGGGGGTACGGGGTGGGATTTGGGGGGGGGGGGGGGCTGTGAAGGTAAAGCCCGACTCCCTGCCCTGCGCTGTCGGACTGATACTGCAAAGCGCATTTTAAGCGGAGTGTGTGTGTGTGTGTGTGGGATGTATATGTGGGGTGTTTATGTACTGTGTGTATGGGGAGGGGGGAGGGCTGTATATGTGTGTGGGGATGTATATATACGTGTAGGTGTATATGTGGGGTGTGTATATATGTGTGTGTGTGGGGGGGGGGGGGTAGTGTATATGTAGGGTGTGTATATATGTGTGTGTGTGGGGGGGGGGGAAGTGTATATGTGGGGGGTGTACATATGTGTGTGTGGGGTGGGGGAGTATATATGTGGGGGGTGTACATATGTGTGTGTGGGGGGGAAGAGTGTATATGTGGGGGGGTGTATATATGTGTGTGTGTGTGGGGTGGGGGAGTGTATATGTGGGGTGTGGGGGAGTGTATATGTGGGGGGGGTGTATATGTGGGGTGTGGGGGAGTGTATATGTGGGGGGGTGTATATATATGTGTGTGTGTGGGTGTGGGGGAGTGTATATGTGGGGGGGGGGTGTATATGTGTGTGTGGATGTGGGGGGTACATTTGTGCGTCTGTGAATATCCTTGGAATCCATCAGCAGTCACTTGAAACCCCGCAAGTTAGTTAGTGAGTGAGGAACACACAGTTAGTCCCTGGAAAAGCCCTGTGGTGAGGGCTGGGGAGGGGGGGGAGGAGTGGGGCGGGGGAGGGGGGCTGGAGACCCGCTCTGGGGAGGAGGTTAGCGATGGTCAGTAGTTACCAGCTGTAACTCCATGGTGCCTCTCTCGTCTCTCTGGTCCGCCTTTCGCTGCTGGAGCTGGAGCCGGAGCCGGGCCCACAGCAAAGCACAACAACAGGAAACGGGAGAGAGAGAGCGAAGGGGGAGAGAAGGCAGCACTCCCCAACCCCCCACCTCCCCTCCCCCCCTTCCTTCCCCTGGGAAGCCTGGCTTTGGTCAGTTTGATCTGGGCTGAAATGGGACTCAGCACACATCTGGAGGGGAGGGGACATCTGGAGGGGAGGGTAGGGGAGGTGGGGGGGGGTCAGGCACTCAGAAATACTGATAACGCAGGCTCTCACTTAAACCTTCCACACACAGAAACCGACCAAAAGGCTTCTCTTGAGCTTGCAGAGAGCGAGGGGGGGGGGGGGTCCAATGCATGCAACGGCACGGCGGAGCACCAGTGCATGCGGCCGGCGAACGAGGAGCGCTCGCAACCACGCAGCGAGAGGACGGGACGTGCCGGCAACGGCGCAGCAAAAACGAGAAGTGCAGTCAGTGCAGTCCCGCCATGCAGCAGCGGCCGAGGGGGTGCGAGCTGACGCACCCGTGCAGCGGGGCACCGGCACGTCGGAGGACCAGTGCATGGGGGTGACGTGTGTCTGCATGCGGCGAGGATCGTGCAGTAACTGTCTCTTCCCTCCTCCACCCCACCACCACCGACCGAGTGGAGCAAAATGGACAAGAAGGCAGCGAGGAGGGCACTGAATACCACATGGGATGGAGCACGATATGAATAGAGCAATGCACGTGGTGGAAGGGGACCAGCGACCGCAGGGCCCGTGCTGTGCAGTAAATGGGGCTAAATGCAGTGAAGGAGCATTACATGCAGCGAAGGAGCGTGTGCACTCAGGGAATACCTTGCCGAGACTCCTAGCTTTAAAAAGCAACTCCAGGTTTTCTAAGTCTGTGTCTAACTCAGCCTGGTAGTGGGACAGGTCGTTGTCGAGCTGGTCCTGTGCGGAAAGGGAGAGAACAGGAGAAAGATTGGAGAGAGAGAGAGGCACGTCTGCCGGGACCCATGCAAACCACAGCCCAGGGCAGCACATCAGGAATTTAATGAGAGCTCTCAAAGCTGCCACACACACTGCTGCACCGGTGCAAACATCACACACACACACCTGCCAGCAAGGTATATCGTGTGTGTAAATACACACTGATACTCAGCCACGAACCACCTGCTCACACATTTACCGGCAGCGTCTCTCACGAATACCTTTGCACTGTTGTCCAGGGAAAGGAAAGGGCTGACAGTGCGATCAGGAGAGAAATGATAAGGGGAATGGGCAGAAGTTGAGTAATAACAGGAAGTTTCTGCACAGATAGACACCACTCGACCCCATCATGTCTGCCTCCCTTTCTCTCAGTCATCCTTCGTTACACAAATGCTTTTAATCTTCAGATGTTTATAATAATGAACCTTTGATGCGATACAGCACCTTTCATGTCGAGAGGCTTCACTGGAGATACTGTAAAGTGTAGTGACTGTGTGTTTTGTAGGCGAACGCGGCAGCCAATTTGCACACAGCAACATCCCACAAACAGCCATGTGAATGACTGATGAACGCCAGGAGAAACTCCCTTCTCTTTTCCAACAGTGCTTTAACGTCCACCTGAACAGACAGATGAGGGGCCTTGGTTTAATGTTTCCTCCAAAGCCCGACTCCTCTGTCAATGCAGTGCTCCTCCCAGTTCTGCACTGGAATGTCAGCCTAGACTGCGAGCTCAGAGTCATCAACGTGGGGCTGGAACCTTGGTACTCGGGAGGCAAGAGCGCTACCACTGAGCTAGGCTGATACCTAATCCTGTTCCCTTTGAACCATTCTATTGCCATGGCCTCAGCAGCCACTAGTGCGAATGAATGCCAAATGCTGACCAGTCTGTGAGTGAAGAGATTAATAATCATCATCATCCTTGCATTTGCTATAGCGCCTTTATACATCGTTGAGGCGCCTCAAAGCGCTTCACAGAATATCCTGTAAAGTGAATTGACTATATGCGCAATTGGCTGCCGCGTTCGCCCACAAATATACAGTCAATTCACTTTACAGTGTGTTCTGTGAAGCGCTTTGGGACGTCCTCCCGACGTGAAAAGCGCTATATCAAATGCAAGGATTATTATTAAAATGTGGCAGCCAATTGCCCACAGCAGCGTCCCACAAACAATCGTGGATTGAAGTGACCAAATTATTATTTTTTTTAAATAAAATGTTTTGAAGTGATAATTACCCCTGGAAAAGCGATCCACCAATCAGCTAACATCTGGGTTCCTACTTACTGCTAAGTAAACAGAGGGGTGTGGAGTAAGGAAACTTGCCTAAGGGTTCGCCCTGCCTAGGAATCGAACCTGGGTCCTCTTTCTTGCGAGGCGAGTGCTCCAACCAGTCAACCACAGACTGCCTCTAACCTCTCCCCCGATTCCTCTGCTAAACAATGCTGAGCCTGGCCCCTCTTCACCCATTCCCGAGCTATGAGAAGACAGTCAGGTGACAGCCTCACACCCAGTAACACTCAACAACGATGCATGCAGTAGCAGCGGCTGGTGCATGCAGTGCTGGGGGAGAGCTGCATGAAACACTGCGCGGCATGCTGCATGGAAAACATGGTGCGGTGGGCTGCAAGCAATAATGCTCATTGGTACTGTGAGGATTGCTGCATGGATGACTCCAGGGAGTGCCCGGTGCAGTGCTGATTGCTGTACTGTGCGGAAGCAATGCTGGAGCGGATGGTGGGGGGGGGCTGCATGCAGTGCTGAGAGGAAGGGTTAGGGTTAATGCTGCACTGGGATACTTCACAGAGTGGGATGGCGAGGTTACAGTGAGATGCAGCTCGTGCTGTTTGTGCTGATACACAGCCCTGCACAGAGGTGTCTACTCGGTTCGCTCCCTGACTCTGCGACCTCTTGATCTGCTGCCTTGTCCTATTTGTAGCATTGCTGCCAGGTTACTTATTTCTGTTTGCTATCATCAGATTAACCTATTAGTGACGATCCTCCGGAGGGGGGGGGGGGGGGGGGGTTAGGTACGGAAGGCAGGGTGTCCTAGGAGCTAAGCTGGGCTTAGAATGTCAGACTAGAGCCCAACCTCTGTGCCAGTCTCTAGTCTGGTTCCTGAGCCAAGAGGGTCTGTAGTATTCCAGGACACTGCTCATAACAGCAGGACTTGGAAGGGCAGACCAGTCACTGGGGGGGGGTAGGGATTTTTCCTACTCAGCTCCTGTTAACCCTACAAGTCAAAGCCCTAATGGGTAGAGTGGTCCCAACTGGACAAGCAGTGGGAAAGCTTGCCAGACAGCAATATCAATGGCAAGCTACGTAGTTTTAGCTGGTCAGACTCCAGCAGTTACCCCAATTTAGACTCTGGGGTCCCCAAGCCTTGGCTCTTACCAACCTGCGCCTAAGAGACTCCGGAATTAGGTAAGAGGGATGTGTCCCTCCAGGGAGAGAGTGCGCATTCCATTCCAGACATGGAAATTTTCATAATATATGCAACTTTCAAGTCTGAAAACTCCTAAGCACGGTGATGGGTTTCCGCGTGTGTCAGACACCCAGCTTATCATGGTGATAGGTTTTCATGTGTGTCCGACATCCGGCTGATCATTATGATGCGTTTCCGTGTGCGTCAGACACCCGACTGATTAGAGTGAATCTTGCTTAGTATTTTATAATCTCGAGACAAATGCGGCATTGAAAATCAGGAGATGGAGCAGAGCAGAGCATGTAGAGAGAGGCAGAGAATGCATTACCTTCCTGTCCTCTAGAGAGAGGATAGAACATTCTCCAGGCGTATAATCCCAGATCTTTTTTGGAGGCTGATGATGATTAGAGAAGGAAATGAAGACAGGAAGAGGAGATCAATCAGGTGGAGATCAGCAGGGGGGGGAGGGGGGGGGGGAAAGAAAAAAAAACAGCTGGTAGAAACAGAGCACATCTACAGGATAAAAACATAAAAACAGACTGTGATCCCCAGAGGTGACGGAAAACAAATCTGTTCCATAAAGCATCTTCTAAAATAACTTCTTGTCCTATGCTGTCCGAGAGCGACACAGCCCGACAGCAGAGGGGAGCCATTCAGCCCACCGAGCATGTTGCTGGTTCTCTCTGCACTATTGTGGACTGTAACACGACAGACAGGACACACTGTTGCACAACAGACAGGTTAGACTCTCCGTTCACTCCCGTTGTCCTGCCTTCTCCCTCACCTACGCTCTACACCGCCTTTTCGATATTCCCCTTTGCAGACATTTCCCCCTCGAAAAGCTTAACTCAGGATCTGGCTCTGTCACGGTCCCCGTTCTCCCTGCCCTCACACACTCCTGGTGTCACAGCTGCCGGCACTTGGGAGATGAGGAGTCTGTTCACAACAGAAACGGACAAGGAGAGGGCAGAGATGGTGCAGGGCGTGAAGGTAAGCATGCACTGTTGCACTAAGAGCTGTGCTAGCTCACACGACGGACAGGACGCACTGTTCACAGCTAATGCTCACGGCAACCTCAGAATAAACACAGGGGAGCGGTCATCAGCTTCATTGCAGTTCACAGGTCTCGGGCGGTGGGGGGGAGGTTAGGGGGGTGGGTTTACAGGCAGTGTATGTCACATTGATACACCAGCAGGCAAAATACAGAAAGACAGTCAATGTCACTGACAAGTCACATCGCTCGGGGCGTTTACACTTCACTGAAGGAGCAACTCTAGCCCACACACTGAATTACACACCCACGAGCCTTGCTGGCACTCAGCCTGGGGTGAGTGTGTTACACACACACTGCCCTCGCTGGCACTGAGACTGGTGTGAATGCTACAGACAAACTGCCCTCTCTCGCACTAAGCCTGTTGTGAGTGAGATGCAATGTTATATGAAGGACTATCCACAAGTTTCACTCCATAAAACAAATGTCAGCACACACAGGGTGAGCTCATTGTGTTTTTCTAAAGCTATTTATCGATCTCACTCTTTCCCTCCATCTCTCTCTCTCTCTGCCCACGTCCTGTCCTATTTCACTGCTCAGTTGCTTTCTCCAGTTCCCTTTGAACCATGCTGTTGCTGCGGCCTCAGCAGCCACTGGTGGGAATGAATGCCAATCGCTGACCAGCCCGTGACTGAAGAGAACGCCTCTAACCTTTCTCCCGATTCCTCTGCTAACGATGCTGAGCCCGGGGCCCTCCTCACGCAATCCCCAGTTAAAGGCAAGCTATCCGCAGCACCTTAAACCCCTTTCACCACCTTAAACCCCTTCCATCACATTCCCTCTCAGCCTTGTCGCTCCAGTGGCCACAGGTTTAGCTTTTTCCAGGGACAATCTGACTAAAGTGCCCCATGTCCCGGGGCCTGCAATACGATGTTCAGAACATGGAGAAGCATCTCAGTAACAAGCGTCAGCCCTTTAAAGGGTACACGAATAGGAGAAGCGTCCGGTTGTTGGCAAACACTGTAGCCAGGAACACACTGTAAAACAACCCCGACAGAAGTCAGATCTCAAAGCAGGATGCTGGCCGGCAACACCACAACAGCAGTCAAAACTCACCGGCTTCCCAAACTCCAACTCGGTAAAGAACTTATACCAAGCTTCACTCTTTAAATCTATTTCTTCTGGGCTCACGTCCCGAGTCTACAGAGGCAATGACAACAGGGAGTGGAGGAGAAGTGGAGGAGAGAGAGAGAGAGAGAGATTGAGAAAAGGCTACAGAGCAGAGACGTGCAGTGTGGGTGGCCTGGAATTCAGGAGACACAGTGGAACAATAATAACCTGACATTTGATACAGCGCTTCGCAGCATTCAGTGTAAAGTGCAGTGACTGTGTGTGTGCGTGTGGAGCTCTCTGAACTGAGGTAACCTGTTGCCTAGTGCTGCTGAGGAGCTCTAAAGCCTTTAAACAGCCACAAGTGCGACAGATACGACAGACATCCCACATGTTAATACTCATCCCAGAGGGGAGCTCCCCCCCCCATCCCCACACAGTGAGAGCCCCTCCATCCCATCCCGTAGGGCTCCCCGGGGGAACCCACACCCCCTCCCACAGAGGCACCCACCTCCCTCTTCCACAGCTCCCTCCCTCCCACACACAGGGTCCCATACCTCTAACCCCCTCCTCAACCCACTGATGCTGCCTAACCTGCTGAGAGTTCCCAGCAATTTATTTTTTGGTCCCTCAAACATCCATGGAGTGAGTGACCAATTTTATTTGTCCAGGACACCGGGAGAGGAAAACTCTCGTCCCTTTTTGAAAAGTGACGCGGGATCTTTAACGTGCACTGCAGATTGGGCCTCGGCTTAACGTCTCACCTGAAGGACAGCACCTTCGACAATGTAACATCCCCCAGAGCTGCACAGGAGCGTCAGCCTAGACTGAGCTCAGAGTCCCCGACGGTGGGCCTGGCTGGGAGACCGAGGTGGTGGGGGGGGGGGTTCACAATCCGGTGTGTAGAGACAGGGGAGGGTGGGGAGGTAGGGGAAGATGGGGAGTTACGGGAGGGTGGGGAGGTGTAGTGTGTGCAGTCAGTCCCTGGTGCACTCACCCTGTGTGTGCGAGCGCTCTCTGTGAGCACCACTGGCTTCCGCTCTCCATTCTCAGATGTCTTCTGCAGTGAAACAGGGTCAGCGCAGGTCAGTGACAGCAACTTCAGCCCTCCTTATATACAGTCACGGCCAAACCCGCCACCCCCCCCCCACCCCGACACAAATATACAGCAACCTCCCCACACATGGCCACTGCCCCATACACACACAGCACCCCCGCCACACACACAACACCCCCGCCTCACACACACAGCGCACACCCCCCCCCCACACACACAGTGCACCCCCCACCCCCCCCACACACACACACACAACCCCCTCCCCCAGTGCTGTTACCAGTTTCTCATGGACCAGGACGGACGAGTTTCCCGGCTCGTAATCAAAGATACTCCTGGGCTCTGCTCGGTACTGCCGTGTGTCCACCTTCCTGTCCGGAGCGTCCCACTCACTCCTGCCACATCACAGAGCATCAGTCAGACTTCTCCCCCACCCACCACATACCCATGCGTCCCGCCCCCCACCCCCCCGGTCCCCCCACATCCTCCACCTCATCCCCACAACTCACATCCCCCCACCTCACCTCCCCCCACACCCTGCATTCCCTCATCAGTGATTTTGTTTGGGGGATTGTTGCCCAGGACACCGGGAGAAACTCGTTTCCCATTTCCAATAGTTCTGTACGATCTTTAACATCCACCTGAACTGGCAGACGGGACCTTGTTTAACGTCTCATCTGACATTGATAATGCAGTCACCCCCGTGTCAGCCAGGATTGTGAGCTCAAAGTCCCCAATGTGGGGCTTGAACCCACAGCCTCCAGACCGGAGGCGAGATTATGAGTGGCTAAGCCGAGCTGAGAATTGGAATAAGTGCGAGTTGTTTGTGTCAGGCACAGAGAGAACAACCACCTACAACAACAAATTACACTTGTATAGCGCCCGTCACATTGGAAAGACGTCCCAGGGTGCTGGACAGTCGGGGGTTTTGGGACCCGAGTTGTGAGTTGGGGTCAGGAGGGGTGGAGGGCAGAGCTGAGCTGCCTGTGAGTTGGGAAGATAAAGACAGAAACACGAGGTGCGTGCTGAGGCCCGCAGTGTCTCTAACCTGTTGCGCGCAGGCTTCAGCGAGGATGAGCGAGGAGGCAGAGGCAGCGTGGCTGAGCGTCTCGCCATCACCTCATTCTCAGCAGCGTCCTTTGCACTCTGTGACCGAGGCAGGTAGGTCTGGCTTCTCCCTGTGTGGGTGGAGGGAAGGTTGAGGCTCATCACACCAACAGTCACTCAACACAGCTCGGCTCCCACTGTACACACGTTTCCTTACACTTGTCCGGTCCAACTCTATCTGACCCATGCTGTGGCTGACCTGGGAGTGTCGACGGACAGTGTAGAGGGAACTTTACTGTGTCTCTAACCCGTGCTGTCACTGATCTGGCTGGTGCTGGATGGAGAGTATACCACAGTAACAGTGTGTAACAGCGTGTGGCAGTAGCTTACCGGTGTCAGAGTGAGAGTACCGTGGAAAGCCAGAATCAGAATCATCATCTGCAATGGAAGCACACAACAAGGAGAGGTCAGCAGGTGAAGGGATTTTGATGTCCCCTGTCCCTTGACCTGAGTCTGTAGCATGAGGAACACGACACACAGCAGCACAGTCCTGTCTGCAAAGAGCAGACTCCCTGGGGGTTGGGGTGACCATACACCGTGTAGAGGTGAGTGGTCACTCCTCCAGTGAACCTGTCTGTAGAAATCCTAATTCTCAGGTCAGATTCCGTCCCTTCTCCTCGGCCTTTCTATCTAATTCCCTTTAAATACATCATATCCACTCTGCACCACCAGCCTCCCCTGATTACTCACTGCATTCTCTGACAATCCTCTGAGGGGAAAAATTCTTCCTGATTTCCTTTTTCACTCTCTGTGTTATAATTGGGAGTCCTGTAGCTTAGTGGTTAGAGCATCGCCTCGTAAGTGAGACGACCCGGGTTCGATTTCCGGGCAGGGCAAAATGTTGGGAAACTTTCCTTACTCCACACTCTCTGTTTACCTAGCAGTCAGTAGGAACCCGTTTGTTAGTCGATTGGCAGATCGCTTTTCCGGCAGTAATAATCGCTTCAAAACGAAAATATACAGTCAATTTACTTTACAGTATATTCTGTGAAGCGCTTTGAGATGTCTCGAAGACTTGATAATGTGCTGTATCAAATACAAGGATTATTATTATTATTATTATTACATAATCTTCACATCAATCCCTCTTGTCCTCAAATCATCCACCAGTGGATATAGTCCCATTGTTTATTCTCATTCTGCTAGGTCCAAATTCCGGATAGCCAGAGGTTTTCTGTAATGCAGTCCCCAACTCGCCAATATGTTCCAGCTGTAGCCTCACCAATGGTGACAGGACAAGAAGGTGCGTGGCAGAGTCTGTGTGCACGGAGTGCTGATCAGTCAGAGCCATCTCCACACTGCCCCAGACTGGGAACAAGCGAGCCTTGCAACACTACGACATCCACAGACTCCCGTCACCGGACACTGCATAAAGGCCTCAAGATCAGGGCAACGCAATACAGGGAACACAGGTCACTGGGAATCATAGATCATGGGAACAGTGGGAGTCTCGAACAAAAAGATGTACCTTCTGCTCGCTGCCGCTCAGCGATATGAGAGAAGATGTAAGTTGGAGTATAAGTGTCCTGCTCTATGAGAGACAGAAGGAAGCAACTGAGAGAAGAAGAGAATAACACAGCAGACAGGAAAAGTCACCCAGGAAACAGCAAACTCAAACACCTGAAGAGGAGGACTGACAACCCTGTGCTATCGATGACCTGGGAGTGTTCTCTAACCTGTGCTGTCACTGACCTGGGAGTTTGGACCAACACTGTAGAAGGAGCTTTACTGTATCTCTAACCCTGACCTGGGAGTGTGGACGGACAGTGTAGAGGGAGCTTTATTGTGTCTCTAACCCTGACCTGGGAATGTGGACGGACAGAGTAGAGGGAGCTTTACTGTGTCTCTTACCCCTGACCTGGGAGTGTGGACGGACAGTGTAGAGGGAGCTTTACTGTGTCTCTAATCCATGCTGTAACTGACCCAGGGATATGGACAGACAGGAGAGAGGGCATGGGGAGGGGGAGTGTATGATAGGGAGTTGAGAGTAACTCAGTTTGCTCGTGAATAAATGTCAAGCCCAGTGTCCCGTCTCCCTCACTGAGCACAGTTTCAATGCTGTTAGCATCACTCAGCGAAGCTCTTAGCTCTGCAATGCATTAGTACAGCACCCGAGGCCAATGCAAATAGCAGCTCAGTGCACAGTGCAGCCAAAGCCATGCCAGAAGCGGGTTAGCACACAGCAGTGGGTATATGGTATGGCGCCGCGCTGCCCCTGTGTTACCTTCAGCGTGTGGGCTCGGTGCTGACTCAGGGAAGCAGTAGGTGGGTGTGTAAGGGTTCTCTGCAGCAGAGAGAAGTAGTGGTGAGATTCCCCAAAATGCCTTCCCCCATCACACTCAAGTCACAGGCCTTGGGGGTGGGGGGGGGGTAGAAGGAGGAAGTGTTATTCCCGAGGAGGAGGGTGTTATTCTTTTTGTGGGTGTTATACCTGGGGAAGGGAGTATACCTGGCGAGGGAGGGTTATATCTGGGGAGAGGGGAGGGTTATATCTGGGGAGAGGGGAGGGTTATATCTGGGGAGAGGGGAGGGTTATATCTGGGGAGAGGGGGGTATATCTGGGGAGAGGGGGGCTATATCTGGGGAGAGGGGGCTATTCTGGGGGGTGGGCTATATCTGGGGGGGGCTATATCTGGGGGGGGGGCTATATCTGGGGAGGGGGGGGACTATATCTGGGGAGGGCGGAGGTTATATCTGGGGAGGGGGGGCGTTATATCCGGGGGGGAATTATAGGGGGAATTATACTGGGTGGGGGTTGGAGTGGGGGGTGTTATATCGGGGAGGGAAGGGTTATACCTGGAGAGGGAGGGGTTATACCTGGGGAATGGGGGGGGGTTATCCCTGGGGAGGGAAGGGGGGGTTATACCTGGGAAGCGGGGGTGGTTATACCTGGGGAGGGGGTGTTTATACCTGGGGAGATGTGTGGCTGATCAGACACCTCAGGGAAACTGTAGGTGGGATGGTAGGGATTATCCTCGGGTAACTCTAGGCAGCAGGTACAGAGGAGAAGAGATGTGAAAAGAAGTAATCAGTCATGCAAAAGATCATAGAAAGTGCTTCCTTATCTCAACAGCGAAGCCATCCATTGCTCACCCCCATTCTCTCCCCATCCCTTCCTTCCTCACAAACCCCCTCCTCATACTCCCTCTCTCCGTCACACCCCCTCTCTCCCTCCCCTTCTCACACTGACTTCCTCCTGCCCCCCACACCGGCTCGGTCACAACCCGTCCCTCCCTCCCTTCCTTCCATCCCCTCTCTTACACCCCCTCACTCCCTCCCTCTGTCCCTCACAACCCCTCACTTCCACCCCCTCCCTCCCAACCTTAGTACCTTTGCTGACTTTGTGGATCTGGTTGAAGACGTTCCTGTACCAGTCTCTCGGCCTCTCGGTGCCCTGTGTGGAGGAGAGAGAGAGATAGCAGCGGTGAGAGGGAATCCATCCCATTGTCAGCCACAAACCATACACAGAGCCCCGTAAACAAGGGGGGTGTCTGCTCACCCGCACTGCACTGCCCACACTGTGGGGGGGGATGCTGGGGCAGGGGTCCACACTCCAGGCCTCCATCCCTCCCGCACTGTCCCCAATGTAACCCCTACCCTGGGGAACGTCACTCTGCACTCGGTGACTGGTCGATCGATCCGGGGCAGAATCTGCAGAAACATACGGCATAAAATCACTCAAAGTAATATCTCATTCATAAGTCTGCAACTCGGTCACTCTCACTGCCAGTGCTCAGTCACTCTCACTCTAGCCCTGGGATCAGTCACTCTCACCACCAACCCAGTACTCAATCACTCTCACTCTAGCCCGGGGCTCAGTCACTTTCATTGCCAACCTAGTGCTCAGTCACTCTCGCCCGGGGCTCAGTCGCTCTCACTCACGGTGGCTGGGGGTCAGGATGTGAGCGTCTGTACCACTGTTGATTTTCTTCTGTTGCTCTGTTGGGAAAAAAAACAATTGGAACGTCACAGAGTCATGCAAACAAATGCCGCCCACCACTGCCCCCCCCGGTCTCACACGCAGACAAACCCCCGCTTTCAACCCCCCTCCCCCACATGCCATGCCTGGGGCTGATCTCCTGTTGCCCCTCAGTGGAGAAGGCTGGTTGGCGGAGGCGGGAGGCAATGAGGGGCAGGCAGTGAGGGGAGGTAGTGGAAGGAGGGTAGTGAGAGGGGGGTAGTTGGGGGTGGTAGTGAGGGGCAGGCGGTGGGGTAGGCTGGCACAGCCCTTACCTCTGTTGTGCTGGAGTAAGACGATGGTGGGGTTGACGGAGGTGGTGGAGGGATAGACCGAGGGCCTGGAGGAGCCCAGCGAGGGCAGAACGTCAGGCCTGTCACTGCTCACAGCTCCGACACTGAACACCTCAGGCACCGAGACTGGAGGAGGCTTCGTCTCTTCTCTGCCCTGCAGCACAAACACATAGACAGCTGCAGGCTGCTCCCTGCTCTTCTCTCACCTTTCCCTCTCTCTTACCACTCTTCTCACACTCACTCCCTCTCTCTCACATTTCGCCCACAAAATATACAGTCAATTCACTTTACAGTATATTCTGAGAAGCGCTTTGAGACGTCTCGAAGACGTGATAAGGCGCCGTCTCAAAAGCAAGGATTATTATTCCCTCTCTCTCACCACTCCTCTCTCTCACACAATCCCTCTTTCTTACCAATCCTCTCACACTCCCTTTTCTCACACAAACACACACCGTCCCTCATACACACACCCTTTTGCTCTCCCTCTCTCTTCCCCTCTCATTCTCCCCCCTCTCTTTCTCAACCTGACACAAATGTGTTGAAGGTCTGTCTGGTGTTGACCACCTGGATCTCAATTATGTTAATGGAGTCTTCAGTCGGTGTTGTTGGTCTGTTGTGTTTTGGAAGCAGAGTCTCTGACACGGTCCCTTGTACCTGCCCTGTCTACCCGCCCACCGTGTACCCGCTCTGTAGCTGACAGACCCATGTAGGGACGGGAGCAATGGCTGGGACTCCTACAATGGTGTGGCACAGCCACTGGGTGGCAGGCGTGTCTCACTCAGTGCCTCCATATAGGAACACAGCCCAGGGAGCTCACTCCGTAACCCTCCCTGTTACTCCACCCGCACCCCCCACCCCACCCCAACAGCACAGGGAGTCCCAGGCCAGGGGAACAACCTGTCCAGGGGAGTGGAGGGAGGGGAGTGAGGGCAAGACAACAGGGCAGCGAGAGGGTGACACAGGTTGGAATACCAGCCCAAGCAGCCACGGCTGTGCAGGAGCTATGCTGGACTGTGCAGGAGTTGTACTGGACTGTGCGGGGGCTGTGCTGGACTGTGCGGGGGTGTGCTGGACTGTGGCTGTGCTGTGCAGGGTGGGGCTGTGCTGGGTTTTCGCTGTGTGGGGGTTGTGCTGGGGTTTGGCTGTGTGGGGGCTGTGCTGGGCAGGAGCTGTGCTGGGCTGTGATGGGGCTGTGCGTGAGAGCTTACTGTGGGGGTTGCTGATCCGCGGGGTGGGGTGTCTATGGCTGCTGGGAGCTGTTCCTGAGCGAGTGCAAGTGCGGTGGGTGTGTGGCTGCTGGGGGAGTGGGGGGTACAGCCTCCTCCCTTCTGCAGCCGCAGGGGGATGAAGTCATCCAGAGTGGGCAGTGTTAGGGCGGTGCTGCAGGGCAAGGCTGCTGGCGTGGCTGGTACCAGGGGCGGTGGCGGCGAGCTCGGGGGCGAGCTCGGGAGCGCCTCTGCTTCAGAGGCCGTGAGCCAGGGCGTGTGCTCACACTCTGCTGGGTCCTGCGGGGAGAGAGGTGCAGTTACATAGCAGCAGCTCCCAGCACACTGCCTCCCCAGTGTAAAACTCCATCACTTACACACAGCAACATATCTCCATCCATCTGCACCCCACCCCACACCCCCCAACAAACTCCTCACTGCCCCCCCCACACCCTCTTCCCCCATACCATTCCTTCATACTCCCTCCCCTGCAACCCTGCTCCCTCATGGACCCCCACTACCCGCAGATCCCCACTCCCCCTCTATACCCACACTGCTACCCCCCCACCCCACACCCCTACCCCTTAACCGCGCTCCTCCTGGAACCCCCCTCACCCCCGGATCTCCACTCACCCACACTCCCTCCTCACTTCCTACTCCCCCTTGGACCACCCTCACCCCCACTCCGCCCTCCGTACTCCCACTCTCCCCTCCGTACCTCCCTCTGCTCCCCTGCACCCCACCTCCCCACAGTTCCCCCACTTGCCCGCCTCCCCCCGCACCCCCTTTCAACCCTCCCATTGCCTGTCTCACTGACCCTGCCTATTTTCACACAATGACCCAATATTGTGGCCAGAGAAGCCTGGATACAGTGGATGCCACTTCAGGCGGACGCTGGTTAATTTGAATAAAATGCCTGGCCCCCATGTGTAGGGCTTAAGCGGCTTCCCCTAACCTACAAATTTTGTCCTGTTGACGTCCCACATTCTGAGCTCCATAATGGAAGTTATTGCTGTCCGCGAAGACCCATCACTCCAGTCCAGTGCTGTCCTACAACCAAAGTGACAGCCACTTTTTTCTCTATTGCCCGGTCAGCTGCGTCGAGCGCTTTCAGACGTCTTCCCGATGAGAAAGGTGCTGCATAAATGTAAATTGTTGCATCTCTCTCTCTCTCTCCCTCCCCACTGCAGATTCTCAATCCTAGAATATTCATCAATGCTGCTGTGGCTCAGTTTCAGGGACCTATTAGAGCCCTTTCACCCCACTCCCAGTGCCCGCCCTCCCTAGTGTGCAGGATATCACGGCACACACCACAGAACCACACATATTAACACACCAAAGAAGCCATTCGGCCCATCGTTGTCTGTGCTGCTCCTTTAAGAACAATCCTTTCAGTCCTAGTTACCTTCTGCAGCCCCACCACCTCCCAGAGATGACTCCTTGTTTCATCAAACTCCCTCTTGAAAGCTAACATGGATTCTATCTCAACCACCGCCCCCGGCAGGACATTCTGTATCCTAATTAATCTGTGTGTGAGAACATCTCCCCTAACCTCCCCATTTGCTTGTTTACTAACCAGTTTAAAATGATGCCCTCTGGTCACTGACTCACCGAATCTATTGATAGAGTTAATAGGGAATCAATAGCGTCAATAATGTCTCCCTAATGACTCTCTATCAAACCCCTCATCATTTTACACACCTCGATCAAGTCACCCCTCAACCATCTCAGTTCCACTGGGAAAAGTCTCAGTTCTTCTGTTCTCTGCTCATAAATCTCCTCTGCCCTCTCCGCTCCCCACCCGCCGCCCCATTACTGTGACGTCATACCTAAAGTGTAGTGACCAACACTGGACACAATATACTCACATTACCGGACCTGATAATATCTGAGGAGGAATAAAACGAACGTCAACCGTCCCAAAGCATCTCTGAGAATAACTATTGTCACGTATGATGACCATTGTCAGCGAATTCAATTCAGATTCAATTCTCACCCCCCACACCGGGGTTCCGTGCCATGACCCGCTCTGCCTTCCCCAACCTCTGCAACATCGCCCGGCTCCACCACTGCCTCACCGCTCGGGCCGCTGAAACCCTCATCCACGCATTCATTACAACTAAGTTCGACTATCCTCACTCCCTACTTGTCAGCCTTCCCAACTCTTCCCACCGCAAGCTGCAGATCATTGAGAACTCTGCAGCTCGTTTCCTCTCCTGCACCAGGCTCCGTGATCCTATCACCCCTGGCCTCGCCCAGTCCACTGGCTCCCCATCCCCCAGAGGATAAGAGTTCAAAATCTTCGTCCTCGCATTCAAAGCCCTCCACGGCTCCTCCCTACCTCTGTGAACTGCTGACCCCATATCAAACTGTCTGCTCCTTCTGCTCACTAGGCTCCAGCCTGCGCCACGTTCCCCGCCCGCCCCAACACCTCTATTGCCTCATTCAACGCCCATTTCAAGACCCTCTTCTTCGACTGGACTGTCGGTCACCCCCCTACCGCCACCCTCCCTGTCCTCCACCCTTCCTGTTTCCAACCCCCAGTTCAGGTCTAAATTCCTGACTGTCCAGCACCTTGGGACGTCCTCCCGACGTGAAAGGCACTGTGTAAATATAATTTGTTGCTATTGTTCCCAGCAGACACAACCCTCTTCCCCCCCCCACCTTGGGCTCCCAGGAGACACTGCCCTCTCACCTGCGATGTCTTACTGTCTGTGGGCAGGTTTGGCCGCACACTCCGGTATCCTTTGGCTGTGAGCGAGGACGATGTGAGCTCTCCATTCACATCGAGGCCAGAAAGTGGTCTCCAGCCGTCTGCGGGGAAGGAGAATGAGCCGGGGAGGGGGGAGCAGCTGAGTGGGGAGCAGTGGGGGAGGGGAACCCAAACAGCAGCCTTGCGAGGGGCTCAGTGCACGGCTCCCTCACTCTCGGGATGGAGGGAGGGACGGACGGTCAGACAGAGCTGGGACAGGACGCAGTGCCCAGCACATGCAGGGCTGTTCTGTGGGTGCTCGGGGCTGGGCTGCTAATTACTATAGCAACCCTATTGAGCGCGCAGTCACTGGCACAATGCGGTGTATTCATTGCAGGGGACAGAGGAAGGCAATTGTCCCCGCTCACAATTGACTGTGGGAGACTGAGCAGAAAGGCACAGTCACAGCACAAACAGGCAGCAAACCATTCAAATACCACAAATACTTCTGCTGAGGCCAGAGAGCAGCGTGGGCATAGAGGGAGCGAGCGCAACATAAATAATCATAGCCTGACATTTGATACACGCCTTTCACATCGCGAGGACCTCTCAAAGCACTTCCCAGGGGAGTGAGCCCGAGACCAGCACAGACAGACCTCCATCTAAACATGGTGAATCACCGGCATTAACACTAGGTTATTACTGGATGCAGAAGTGGGGGAAGTGAGCGTCAGCTTGGGCGCCGCTGCTCCTTCAGCGGGGGTGGGGGGGCGTTGGGGGGGCGTTGGGGGGGGGGTGTAGGGGGAGGTAAGTGGGGTCTCCTTAGAATCGAGCCCACCCTCTGTGATGGTCTCTAGTCCGGTTCCTGAGCCAGGCGGGTTCCAGCAGTATCCCATGGCACTGCTGATGGCAGCACAGCCCAGCCTGGTAGGAACTGGAAGGGCCGACTTGTCACTGGGGGCAGGGAATCCTCCAGCTCAGCTGTTAACCCTGCAAGCCAAAGCCCTCACTGGGTCGAGTGGTCCCAGTTGGACAAGCAGCGGGAAAGCTTGCCAGACAGTGCTCTCAATGGCAAGCCATATGATCTTAGCTGGTGAGACTCCAACGCACACTCTGGCTCTCAACTTGTACCTAATACTCTCTGGAATTAGGTAAGCAGGGGGCATCCCTCCAGGTAAATAGAGCATATTCCAATCCACACACAGGAATTTCCTTGTATAGGTGACAAGACATGGAACTCTGTCTGGTTTGAAGACTCATAAGGACAGTGATGGGTGGGGCTCGTGCAGGGGGTGGGGCTCAGCACACAGGGAGGGGCTCAGTGCAGGGGAGGTGCCCTGTGCGGGGGAGGTGCCCTGTGCGGGGGAGGTGCCCTGTGCAGGGGAGGTGCCCTGTGCAGGGGAGGGGCTCAGTGTTGGGGTGGGGCTCAGTGCTGGGGGCGGGGCTCAGCACAGGGGGTGGGGCTCAGTGCAGGGGGTGGGGCTCAGTGCAGGGGGAGGTGCCCTGTGCAGGGGAGGGGCTCAGTGTTGGGGTGGGGCTCAGTGCTGGGGGTGGGGCTCAGTGCTGGGGGTGGGGCTCAGTGCTGGGGGCGGGGCTCAGCATAGCGGGTGGGGCTCAGCACAGGGGGCGGGGCTCAGTACAGGGGGCAGGGCTCAGTGTAGGGGGTGGGGCTCAATGCTGGCGGTGGGGCTCAGCACAGCGCGGGATACATAACTGACCGTAACCTGATGATATCCTCATGGTGACGGAGCCCTTCCCTGCTCGCATCTTGACGTCACTGTCTGTAATCACACAGACTCCAGGTCAAACAAGCTTCCTTTCCTTTCACTGGCAGATGGCAAGCTCCCTCTGCACCAGACCGTCAGAAGTTGCTGGGAACACTCAGCAGGTCGGCCAGCATCCATAGGGAGAGGAAAGTGAGTTAATGTTTCAGCCTGATGACCGTTCGTTTGAGTTCTGACGAAAGGTCATCGACCTGAAACGTGGAACTCACTTTCCTCGCTCCATCGATGCTGCCCGACCTGCTGAGCGTTCCCAGCGACTTTCTGTTTTTATTTCAAATTTCCGGAATCTGCAGCGTTTTGCCTTTTGTTCCCTCTACACTGTCTGTCCACACGCCCAGGTCAGTGGCCGTACTTGTTAGGACACAAAGTCGGGCTCCCTCTCCCTGGATAATGGTGCTCTGGACTGACACGTACCCGAGGCTGGTATCCGGCTCCTGGACACGAGTCCATTCAGAATAGTGTGAGGAGCGGTAACTTCATCCTCTGGATGGAAAGGAGAGACAAATAATTAGTGATTGACTGAAATCTGGAGCGTCTCATACACGGAGCGTCTCACACACACACACACACAGCGCGTCACACGCACAGCGCGTCACACACACAGCGCGTCACACACACAGCGCGTCACACACACAGCGCGTCACACTCACATACAGTGTCACACACACACAGCGCGTCACATACATAGAGTCACACACACAGTGCGTCAAACACACTCACAATGTCACACACACACACACACACACACACACACAGTGTTAGGGGGCTTGAGTCAGGGGGGGAACTCACCAGTGCTCATTATGATACTGAGGTCGTCTCTTGATTGTCTGTGATTCCACCCTGTAACACAGTGAATGACAGTCAGAGTAATGTCAGAGTCATTCATGTCGGGAGGATATCCCAAGCTGCTAGATAGTGAGGGATTTGCACCCAGGGAGGGTTGGGATAGGGGTAGCAGGGTGGCCTTATATGTGGTCGAAGAGGAAGGTCTTGAGACGGGCCTTGAAGGAGGCAAGGGAGGGAGCAAGGCGACGGGACTGTGGGATGGAATTCCAAAGGGTGGGGGCAGAGAGGCTGCAGAGAGTACATTATAACTGTGTAACACAGTACTTCATAACTGTGATACGCCCACGCACCTCCCTAGCTATCCGATTTGCTTGTCAGTCACTCCACCACCCGCTGCCTCTGCTTGGCCGGCTCTAGCATCCTGTTCGACCCTCGCCCCCTCCACTCCACTATTGGAGGCTGTGCTTCAGCCACTATGCCCTTGAACTCTCTCCCTCAATGCCTCCACCTTGCCCCGTCTCTCCCCATTTTCAAATCCCGCCTGAAGGCCTTCCTTTTTGATCGTGCCTACAGTCAGACTCCACGACTGTCAAGCGCTATATGAAAGGCGCTATATAAATAATAATAATAATCCTTGCATTTGATATAGCGCTTTTCACGTCGGGCGGATGTCCAAAAGCGCTTCACAGAACACACTGTAAAGTGAATTGACTGTATATTTGTGGGCGAACGCGGCGGCCAATTGCGCACAGCAATGTCCCACAAACAGTCGTAGATTGAAAATAACCAATTTAATTATTGTTTTTGGTTTTTGGAGGGATTATTATTAGTCTCTGTGTGGAGTAAGGAAACTTGCCCAAGGTTTCGCCCTCTGCCTGGAATTGAACTCAGGTCTCTCACTTGCAAAGCGAGTGCTCTAACCACTGAACTACAGGACTAAATGCAAGTTGTTGTGCCTTCTGCCACTCTGCCCCCAACCTCTGGAACTCCATCCTGTAGTCCATCTGCCTCACCCCCTCTCTT